ACTTCAGCTACTGATGGTAAAAAACAAAGACTTTCTTTCAGCTTCTGTTTTGTGCTTCACGGAAACATGGCTGTGTGATTTGATTCCGGACACTTCGCTACAACTAGCACTCTCCGGCAAGACGAAAGGCGGTGGTATTTGTTTTTACATTAACAGTGGCTGGTGTGTAGATGTCACAGTGATTCTGCAACATTGTTCTCCACTCCTTGAATCAATTTTTATAACCTGTAAACCGTTTTACTCGCCTCGCGAGTTCGCGTCGCTCATTTTGGTCGGAGTTTATTTGCCGCCTTGTCCTCAGGTTAAAGAGGCCCAACTCATGCTCGCCGATCATATTCTGAGTGTGGAGCGAGCAAATCCAGATTCGTTGGTTATCGTACTTGGCGACTTTAACAAAGGTAATCTCAGCCAAGAACTCCCCAAATACATACAATTCATTAAATGCGCAACCAGAGAAGGGAACACTCTGGATCACTGGTACACTACAGTCAGTAGAGCCTACCACGCCGTCCCCCGAGCAGCACTAGGACATTCTGACCATGCCATGGTCCACCTGATTCCTGCATACAGGCAGAAACTAAAACTCTGTAAACCTCCTGTGAGGACATCTAAACAGTGGACCAGTGAGGCTGTGGAAGATTTGCGGGCGTGCTTAGACTGTACTGACTGGGATATGTTCACGACTGCTACCAATAGTCTGGATGAACTCACAGAGGCTGTGACGTCCTACATCAGCTTCTGTGAGGACTGCTGTATCCCAACACGTACCAGGGTGAACTTTAACAACAATAAGCCCTGGTTCTCAGCAAAGCTCAGAAGGTTGAGGTTGGACAAGGAGGAAGCGTTTAGGAGTGGGTTTAGGAGCGGTGAGAGAGGCTAAACGACTGTACTCAGAGAGACTAAAACACCAGTTCTCTACTAACAATGCTGCTTCTGTCTGGAGAGGGCTCAGGCAGATCACCAACTACAAACCCAGAGCCCCCCACACCACTAACGACTCCCGCCTAGCCAACGACCTGAACGAGTTCTACTGTAGATTTGAAAGACAATTGGACTGTCCTGAACCACCCCTTCCCACCCAAGAGGCCCCACCCCCCACCCATACTACAGAGACGATTCTCTCCTTTCAGGAAGAAGAAATTAATAGACTTTTCAAGAGGCAGAATCCACGCAAAGCAGCCGGGTCGGACTCTGTCTCTCCAGCCACCCTCAGGCACTGCGCTGACCAGCTGTCTCCGGTGTTCACCAATATCTTTAACACCTCCCTGGAGACATGCCATGTACCAGCCTGTCTCAAGTCCTCCACCATCATCCCTGTGCCCAAAAAGCTAAGGCCAACAGGACTAAATGATTACAGACCGGTCGCCCTTACATCTGTGGTAATGAAGTCTTTTGAGCGCCTGGTCCTTGCACACCTCAAAGCCATCACAGACCATCTCCTGGACCCCCTTCAGTTTGCCTACAGAGCCAACAGGTCTGTGGACGATGCAGTTAACATGGCCCTCCACTTCACCCTACAGCATCTGGACGCCCCAGCATCCTACGCCAGGATCCTGTTTGTGGACTTCAGCTCTGCCTTCAATACCATCATCCCTGCCCTGCTTCAGGACAAGCTCTTCCAGCTGAACGTGCCCTACACCACCTGTAAATGGATCACAGACTTCCTGTCTGACAGGAAGCAGTGCGTTAAGCTGGGAACACAAATCTCTGACTCCAGGTCCATCAGCACCGGAACTCCTCAGGGCTGCGTCCTTTCCCCACTGCTCTTCTCCCTGTATACCAACAGCTGCACCTCCAATCATCTGTCCGTCAAACTCTTGAAGTTTGCGGACGACACCACCCTCATTGGGCTGATCTCTGGTGGGGATGAGTCTGACTATAGGTGGGAAGCTGACAACCTGGTGACCTGGTGTAGCCAGAACAACTTAGAGCTAAATGCTCTAAAGACAGTTGAGATGGTTGTGGACTTCAGGAAGAATACAGCCCCCCTCACCCCCATCACCCTGTTAGACTCCCCAGTCAAAATTGTAGAGTCCTTCCGCTTCCTGGGCACTATTCTCTCCCAGGACCTCAAGTGGGAACTGAACATCAGCTCCCTCACCAAGAGAGCTCAACAGAGGATGTACTTTCTACGGCAGCTGAAGAAATTCAACCTGCCAAAGACAATGATGGTGCAATTCTATACAGCGATCATTGAATCCATCCTCACCTCCTCCATAACCGTCTGGTACGCTGCTGCCAAGGACAAGAGCAGACTGCAGCGTATCATCCACACTGCTGAGAAGGTAATTGCCTGCAATCTACCAACCCTCGAGGACCTGCACACGACAAGGACCATGAGGCGAGCGAGGAAGATTATGGCCGATTCCTCCCACCCTGGACACTTTCTGTTTCAGCTACTCCCCTCCAGGAGAAGGCTTCGGTCCATCAGGACCAAAACCTCACGCCATAAAAACAGTTTCTTCCCATCTGCTGCTGGCCTGTTAAACAAGGCCAAGGGCTTACACTGATTTTAACATTTTATCTACATAATGACACCTTGCCGATATTAACTATGTTAACCTATTTGTATTTTTTTTATTTTTAAATTATATCTTAAAGCTATTTTATATTCGATATTTATTCAATTTTTTATACTTCAGCCCCTTGGTGTTAGTTAGACTTTTAACCCTTATTATTATAGTAAGACTTGTTTAAAACTTATTTAAGATGTTAGATTCCTATATGTTGAATGGATGCACCATCCTGCCAAAGTAAATTCCGTGTCGGTGTGAACTTTCATGGCGAATAAAACTCTTTCTGATTCTGATTCTAAGTTTCACGACTCATTTTCAGGAGGGTCACGCCAAGGTTTTTGCAGTGGGGCGGGGGGGGGCGCTAATTGCTTTGTGTATTCCAGCTGAGAAATATGTGTAGCCGTGTCAACAGTTTTAATTCACATAGATCACATGGCATGTTTCTGCAGAAATCATCATTCCACCAGTTGAAGCCACAAGACCACCTGGGCCAACCACAAAAAATGGTAAATACCCATACAAGTCGGCAACATTATTACAGTTTTCAAGGTGCAACTTAAGTATTGATACACTACAAATAGTTTGAAAATGAATACAATATTGGAGTGTGTCTTGGGATGTGTGTTCTTTAGTCCTCTGCCCAATGATGATGGGTCTTCAGCTCCAACTCGCTCCCCCCATCCTCCTCTGATCCAAAGCTTCCTTCATTTCACCATATGGCCCATCATCCTCTAAACGTCAAGGATCTGTTTTTGATTACTCTTTGGTTCTTTCGGTAAAGTCACGTAGAAAGAAAATCAATTAAAAAATTCCACGCAATTTTCTCTAAAATATACCAGTCTTGTTGGGTCTTTCATTGACATGCTAATTTCTCGACTCCAGCAGCTGCTCCAGCAGACCAACCTCTATCTCTCACCCAACCCCTCTCTCTGTATTTAAGGCCTTGACACAGAGGCATTAGGTCTCTGTGTCTATGTCAGGGGTGGGCAAATTTTTTGACTCGCAGGCCACAATGGGTTCTAAAATTTGACAGAGGGGCCAGGCCAGGAACAGATGGATGGAGTGTTTGTGTGAACTAATATAAATGACATGTAAAAATCATTACATGAAAGGATTTGGCCTTTAACAGGTAGCAAAGCATTTATTTGCAAGGCAATTTAATAAATTGCACGAACATGAACAATACAAAAACATATCATAACTCCCGGTCAAAGTGCGCCATCTAATGTGGAAATGAGGGCATTACAGCAGAAAGGTAAAATTTTATTTAATAATAATATTTGGACAAGTTCGGCGGGCAGGATTAAAAAGCCCAACGGGCCGTATACGGCCCGGGGGCCGTACTTTGCCCATGTCTGGTCTATGTTGTGTGTCTGTCTGTGTGTCTTCGTGTGTGTGTTTTGTCTCTCTCTCAAATTTAGTTCTACCTGATGACGACTGCTTGTGTTGCAATCGAAACGTCGTATTCTATTATTTAATTTATTTTCTTTCAACGTTACTTTACCGAAAGAACCAAAGAGTCATTCCTGCAGTCACGAAAGCTCCGAATCAAGTTTGATCTTTTTCATTCTTTCAGTTTCGGTCTCCTTTTCAATTTCGTTCTAAAACTACGCTTTCAGCTCCGACAAAGTGCCTAATCCACATCGTTTACTTAACAGACTCTATTGGCATTTTACGACAATTCTCCATATCCACATCGTAAAACTTTCCAGTGTTTTTAAGTCTTCTCAGAATGCTAGTTTCTGAAGAAGCATAGCAAGTTGAACAAACCGGGTGCTCAGTCTGGTTCTGAACTTGTGGTTACTCACATTAGAACATTACCTAAGTAATATCTTTCAACACTCACGAATTCACTCCAGCTGCTCCTTGTCACTCTTCTATCACCACTATCATGGCTACTGTTCCTGTGAACTTCACTCAATGATTCCTCCACCTATGTCAAGGACCTGATCTACCTGTCTGATTTTTCGTCTCGTAAATTTCGGTGTTAAGCTAACAGATAGTTATAGACACTACTTCTTCCCTCACAATGCTCCACTTAGGATTTCCATAATAAAATCTCTGTCCCAAGATATACCCTTTTTAAATTCGAAAACTATTAATTATTTAATACCGCTGTGTTGAAAGCCGCTTGGAATTTGCGGTCCAGAGATCTTTGCTTAGCAAGCATGATGCATAAACTTATATAACCAAATCCATGATGTCGATTTAAAGTATCGTCTAAAACGTGACTTACAACATTTACAAAGTGCAACTGAAAATGCATGAGTAATCTGAATTCTGTTAACATCCATCGCTTGCCTTTTCTTTCAAAGTGACACCGAAACCTCTGGTTGAGGAAAAGCCAACAAAACCAGCTCCAGAAGAGAGTGGTGCTCCTCCTCAAGAACCAACTGGACCGAAGGACAAGACACCCCCACCTCCAACCTCCGGCAACAAGGAGCCAGAACCTTCACCCTCAGGAGGGCCAGGTGTGTTCATTTTGTTAGATTTTATATATATACAGGAAGTATACTGCTTAGGATCAAATCACACAATGCCACTGAATGTTAGATCTCATCAACTAATTAGACTTACGCCTGGATAAGATTTGGATGGGGGACAACCTGTGTAACAGATGCCTGAGGCTGCATATTTATAATGTGGGCTGCAGAGGGCAGAATGTCACACGCCTTTATTATGCTGTACATTCATGCTCCCTCATCATACGTTCACTAAACCTCACTGAAGAGCATTATGAAGGATGGTAAAATAACCCCCCCAATGCAGACACCATCGGGAGGCTTTAATTAAGCAGTGTATTGACAAAGAGCTTGACGTTATTTAGTATCACTTTCCAGTAACTTATTTGTAATGCAGATTGAAAGTATTGTCTGAAGGTTGCTTATAACATTTTACAAGGTTCAACTGGAAATGCATGAGTAATCTGCATTCTGTCAACATCCATCCCTGGATTTTTCATTCAAAGTGACACGGAAACCCCCGGGAGAGGAAAAGCCAACAAAGCCAGCTCCTGAAGAGAGTGGCGCTCCTCCTCAAGAACCAACTGCACCGAAGGATAATACACCCCCACGTCCAACCTCCGGCAACAAGGAGCCAGAACCTTCACCCTCAGGAGGGCCAGGTGTGTTTCGTTTGCAAGTTATTTTAATGTACATATGTTTATACCGGCCATATAGTTCTTACGATCAAATAACGCAGAATGCGCATACATTTCTCAGATCTCAGAAATGAAATAGGGTTGTTCTAGAAGTCAGGAATGGTTGCCGACATCCGTAATATGCGTTAAAGATTGCATGTTATAGGCTGCAGAGGGCAGGATACCACATTCATTTATTTTGCTGTACTTACATGTCCCCAAGTCAATGCAATGTACATTCTGACAACACCCAATCCCTGGCTTTTCTTTCAAAGAAACACCGAAACCCCCGGTAGAGGAAAAGCCAACAAAGACATCTCCTGAAGAGAGTGGCGCTCCGCCTCAAGAACCAACTGCACCGAAGGACAAGACACCCCCACCTCCAACCTCCGGCATCAAGGAGCCAGAACCGTCACCCTCAGGAGGGCCAGGTGTGTTCATTTTGTTATATTATATATGCAGGAAGTATACTGCTTAGGATCAAAGCAAATAATGTGACTTAATTTGTTAGATCTCAACTAATTAGACTTGCGCCTGGATGAGATTTGGATGGGGGACAATCTGTGTAACAGATGCCATCGGCTGCATATTTGTAATGTGGACTACAGAGGGCAGAATGCCACACCTCTTTATTGTGCTGTACGTTCATGCTCCCTCATCACACGTTCACTAAACCGCACTGAAGCGCATGATGAAGGATGGTCAAATAACCCCCCAAAGCAGACACCATGGGGAGGCTTTAATTAAGCAGTGTATTGACAAAGAGCTTGGCGTTATTTAGTATCACTTTCCAGTAACTTATTTGTAATGCAGATTGAAAGTATTGTCTGAAGGTTGCTTATAACATTTTACAAGGTTCAACTGGAAATGCATGAGTAATCTGAATTCTGTCAACATCCATCCCTGGATTTTTCATTCAAAGTGACACGGAAACCCCCGGGAGAGGAAAAGCCAACAAAGCCAGCTCCTGAAGAGAGTGGTGCTCCTCCTCAAGAACCAACTGCACCGAAGGATAAGACACCCCCACCTCCAACCTCCGGCAACAAGGAGACAGAACCTTCACCCTCAGGAGGGCCAGGTGTGTTTCGTTTCCAAGTTTTTTTGATGTATATATGTTTATACCGGCCATGTAGTTCTTACGATCAAATAGCGCAGAATGCGCATACATTTCTCAGATCTCAGAAATGAAATAGGGATCTTCTAGAAGTCAGGAATGGTTTCCGACATCCGTAATATGCGTTAAAGATTGCATGTTATAGGCTGCAGAGGGCAGGATACCACATTCCTTTATTTTGCTATACTTAAATGTCCTCAAGTCAATGCAATGTTCATTTTGTCAACGCCCAATCCCTGGCTTTTCTTTCAAAGAAACACCGAAATCCCCGGTAGAGGAAAAGCCAAAAAAGCCAGCTCCAGCAGAGAGTGGCGCTCCGCCTCAAGAACCAACTGCACCAAAGGACAAGACACCCCCACCTCCAACCTCCGGCAGCAAGGAGCCAGAACCATCACCCTCAGGAGGGCCAGGTGTGTTAATTTTGTAGGATTATATATACAGGAAGTATACTGCTTAGGATCACATCACACAATGTGACTTAATTTGTTAGATCTCAACTATTTAGTATTGCGCCTGGATGAGATTTGGATGGGGGACAACCTGGGTAACAGATGCCATCAGCTGCATATTTATTACGTGGACTACAGAGGGTAGAATGCCACACCTCTTTATTGTGCTGTACGTCCATGCTCTCTCATCCCACGTTCACTAAACCGCCATGAAAAGCATGATTAAGGATGGTCACACAACCCCCCCAATCCAGACACCGTTGGGGGGCTTTAATTTAGCAGTGTATTTGGCAAAGAGCTGTACATTATTTAGTATCACTTTACAGTAACTTATTCGAAATTCAGAATAATGTATTGTCTGAAGGTTGCTTACAACATTTTACAAGGTTAAACTCAGAATGCTTGAGAAATCTGCATTCCCTTAACATCCATCCGTGGATTTTTCATTCAAAGTGACACCGAAATCCCCGGTAGAGGAAAAGCCCACAAAGCCAGCTCCTGAAGAGAGTGGCGCTCCGCCTCAAGAACCAACTGCACCGAAGGACAAGACACCCCCACCTCCAACCTCCGGCAACACGGAGCCAGAACCTTCACCCTCAGGAGGGCCAGGTGTGTTTCCTTTGCAAGTGTTTTTAATGTATATATGTTCATACCCGCCATATAATTCTTATGATCAAATAGAGTAGAATGCGCATACATTTCTCAGATCTCTGAAATGAAATAGGGTTGTCCTGGAAGTCAGGAATGGTTGCCCACATCTGTAATATGCGTTATAGATTGCATGTTATAGGCTGCAGAGGGCAGGATACCACATTCCTTTATTTTGCTGTACTTACATGTCCCCAAGTCAATGCAACGTACATTCTGTCAACACCCAATCCCTGGCTTTTCTTTAAAAAAAACACCGAAACCACCGGTAGAGGAAAAGCCAAGAAAGCCATCTCCTGAAGAGAGTGGCGCTCCACCTCAAGAACCAACTGAACCGAAGGACAGGACACCCGCACCTCCAACCTCCGGCATCAAGGAGCCAGAACCCTCACTCTCAGGAGGGCCAGGTGTGTTCATTTTGTTATATTATATATACAGGAAGTATACTGCTTAGGATCAAAGCAAATAATGTGACTTAATTTGTTAGATCTCAACTAATTAGACTTGCGCCTGGATGAGATTTGGATGGGGGACAATCTGTGTAACAGATGCCATCAGCTGCATCTTTATAATGTGGACTACAGAGGGCAGAATGCCACACCTCTTTATTGTGCTGTACGTTCATGCTCCCTCATCACACGTTCACTAAACCGCACTGAAGCGCATGATGAACGATGGTCAAATAACCCCCCCAAAGCAGACACCATGGGGAGGCTTTAATTAAGCAGTGTCTTGACAAAGAGCTTGACGTTATTTAGTATCACTTTCCAGTAACTTATATGTAATGCAGATTGAAATTATTGTCAGAAGGTTCCTTATAACATTTTACAAGGTTCAACTGGAAATGCATGAGTAATCTGCATTCTGTCAACATCCATCCCTGGATTTTTAATTCAAAGTGACACGGAAACCTCCGGAAGAGGAAAAGCCAGCAAAGCCAGCTCCTGAAGAGAGTGGCGCTCCGCCTCAAGAACCAACTGCACCGAAGGACAAGACACCCCCACCTCCAACCTCCGGCAACAAGGAGCCAGAACCTTCACCCTCAGGAGGGCCAGGTGTGTTTCGTTTCCAAGTTTTTTTAATGTATATATGTTTATACCGGCCATGTAGTTTTTACGATCAAAATAGCGCAGAATGCACGTACATTTCTCAGATCTCAGAAATGAAATAGGGTTGTCCTGGAAGTCAGGAATGGTTGCCCACATCCGTAATATGCGTTATAGATTGCATGTTATAGGCTGCAGAGTGCAAGATACCACATTCCTTTATTTTGCTGTACTTACATGTCCCCGAGTCAATGCAATGTACATTTTGTCAACGCCCAATCCCTGGCTTTTCTTTCAAAGAAACACCGAAATCCCCGGTAGAGGAAAAGCCAACAAAGCCAGCTCCAGCAGAGAGTGGCGCTCCGCCTCAAGAGCCAACTGCACCAAAGGACAAGACACCCCCACCTCCAACCTCCGGCAGCAAGGAGCCAGAACCATCACCCTCAGGAGGGCCAGGTGTGTTAATTTTGTAGGATTATATATACAGGAAGTATACTGCTTAGGATCAAATCACACAATGTGACTTAATTTGTTAGATCTCAACTATTTAGTATTGCGCCTGGATGAGATTTGGATGGGGGACAACCTGGGTAACAGATGCCATCAGCTGCATATTTATTACGTGGACTACAGAGGGTAGAATGCCACACCTCTTTATTGTGCTGTACGTCCATGCTCTCTCATCCCACGTTCACTAAACCGCCATGAAAAGCATGATTAAGGATGGTCACACAACCCCCCCAATCCAGACACCGTTGGGGGGCTTTAATTTAGCAGTGTATTTGGCAAAGAGCTGTACATTATTTAGTATCACTTTACAGTAACTTATTCGAAATTCAGAATAATGTATTGTCTGAAGGTTGCTTACAACATTTTACAAGGTTAAACTCAGAATGCTTGAGAAATCTGCATTCCCTTAACATCCATCCGTGGATTTTTCATTCAAAGTGACACCGAAATCCCCGGTAGAGGAAAAGCCCACAAAGCCAGCTCCTGAAGAGAGTGGCGCTCCGCCTCAAGAACCAACTGCACCGAAGGACAAGACACCCCCACCTCCAACCTCCGGCAACACGGAGCCAGAACCTTCACCCTCAGGAGGGCCAGGTGTGTTTCCTTTGCAAGTGTTTTTAATGTATATATGTTCATACCCGCCATATAATTCTTATGATCAAATAGAGTAGAATGCGCATACATTTCTCAGATCTCTGAAATGAAATAGGGTTGTCCTGGAAGTCAGGAATGGTTGCCCACATCTGTAATATGCGTTATAGATTGCATGTTATAGGCTGCAGAGGGCAGGATACCACATTCCTTTATTTTGCTGTACTTACATGTCCCCAAGTCAATGCAACGTACATTCTGTCAACACCCAATCCCTGGCTTTTCTTTAAAAAAAACACCGAAACCACCGGTAGAGGAAAAGCCAAGAAAGCCATCTCCTGAAGAGAGTGGCGCTCCACCTCAAGAACCAACTGAACCGAAGGACAGGACACCCGCACCTCCAACCTCCGGCATCAAGGAGCCAGAACCCTCACTCTCAGGAGGGCCAGGTGTGTTCATTTTGTTATATTATATATACAGGAAGTATACTGCTTAGGATCAAAGCAAATAATGTGACTTAATTTGTTAGATCTCAACTAATTAGACTTGCGCCTGGATGAGATTTGGATGGGGGACAATCTGTGTAACAGATGCCATCAGCTGCATCTTTATAATGTGGACTACAGAGGGCAGAATGCCACACCTCTTTATTGTGCTGTACGTTCATGCTCCCTCATCACACGTTCACTAAACCGCACTGAAGCGCATGATGAACGATGGTCAAATAACCCCCCCAAAGCAGACACCATGGGGAGGCTTTAATTAAGCAGTGTCTTGACAAAGAGCTTGACGTTATTTAGTATCACTTTCCAGTAACTTATATGTAATGCAGATTGAAATTATTGTCAGAAGGTTCCTTATAACATTTTACAAGGTTCAACTGGAAATGCATGAGTAATCTGCATTCTGTCAACATCCATCCCTGGATTTTTAATTCAAAGTGACACGGAAACCTCCGGAAGAGGAAAAGCCAGCAAAGCCAGCTCCTGAAGAGAGTGGCGCTCCGCCTCAAGAACCAACTGCACCGAAGGACAAGACACCCCCACCTCCAACCTCCGGCAACAAGGAGCCAGAACCTTCACCCTCAGGAGGGCCAGGTGTGTTTCGTTTCCAAGTTTTTTTAATGTATATATGTTTATACCGGCCATGTAGTTTTTACGATCAAAATAGCGCAGAATGCACGTACATTTCTCAGATCTCAGAAATGAAATAGGGTTGTCCTGGAAGTCAGGAATGGTTGCCCACATCCGTAATATGCGTTATAGATTGCATGTTATAGGCTGCAGAGTGCAAGATACCACATTCCTTTATTTTGCTGTACTTACATGTCCCCGAGTCAATGCAATGTACATTTTGTCAACGCCCAATCCCTGGCTTTTCTTTCAAAGAAACACCGAAATCCCCGGTAGAGGAAAAGCCAACAAAGCCAGCTCCAGCAGAGAGTGGCGCTCCGCCTCAAGAGCCAACTGCACCAAAGGACAAGACACCCCCACCTCCAACCTCCGGCAGCAAGGAGCCAGAACCATCACCCTCAGGAGGGCCAGGTGTGTTAATTTTGTAGGATTATATATACAGGAAGTATACTGCTTAGGATCAAATCACACAATGTGACTTAATTTGTTAGATCTCAACTATTTAGTATTGCGCCTGGATGAGATTTGGATGGGGGACAACCTGGGTAACAGATGCCATCAGCTGCATATTTATTACGTGGACTACAGAGGGTAGAATGCCACACCTCTTTATTGTGCTGTACGTCCATGCTCTCTCATCCCACGTTCACTAAACCGCCATGAAAAGCATGATTAAGGATGGTCACACAACCCCCCCAATCCAGACACCGTTGGGGGGCTTTAATTTAGCAGTGTATTTGGCAAAGAGCTGTACATTATTTAGTATCACTTTACAGTAACTTATTCGAAATTCAGAATAATGTATTGTCTGAAGGTTGCTTACAACATTTTACAAGGTTAAACTCAGAATGCTTGAGAAATCTGCATTCCCTTAACATCCATCCGTGGATTTTTCATTCAAAGTGACACCGAAATCCCCGGTAGAGGAAAAGCCCACAAAGCCAGCTCCTGAAGAGAGTGGCGCTCCGCCTCAAGAACCAACTGCACCGAAGGACAAGACACCCCCACCTCCAACCTCCGGCAACACGGAGCCAGAACCTTCACCCTCAGGAGGGCCAGGTGTGTTTCCTTTGCAAGTGTTTTTAATGTATATATGTTCATACCCGCCATATAATTCTTATGATCAAATAGAGTAGAATGCGCATACATTTCTCAGATCTCTGAAATGAAATAGGGTTGTCCTGGAAGTCAGGAATGGTTGCCCACATCTGTAATATGCGTTATAGATTGCATGTTATAGGCTGCAGAGGGCAGGATACCACATTCCTTTATTTTGCTGTACTTACATGTCCCCAAGTCAATGCAACGTACATTCTGTCAACACCCAATCCCTGGCTTTTCTTTAAAAAAAAACACCGAAACCACCAGTAGAGGAAAAGCCAAGAAAGCCATCTCCTGAAGAGAGTGGCGCTCCACCTCAAGAACCAACTGAACCGAAGGACAGGACACCCGCACCTCCAACCTCCGGCATCAAGGAGCCAGAACCCTCACTCTCAGGAGGGCCAGGTGTGTTCATTTTGTTATATTATATATACAGGAAGTATACTGCTTAGGATCAAAGCAAATAATGTGACTTAATTTGTTAGATCTCAACTAATTAGACTTGCGCCTGGATGAGATTTGGATGGGGGACAATCTGTGTAACAGATGCCATCAGCTGCATCTTTATAATGTGGACTACAGAGGGCAGAATGCCACACCTCTTTATTGTGCTGTACGTTCATGCTCCCTCATCACACGTTCACTAAACCGCACTGAAGCGCATGATGAACGATGGTCAAATAACCCCCCCAAAGCAGACACCATGGGGAGGCTTTAATTAATCAGTGTCTTGACAAAGAGCTTGACGTTATTTAGTATCACTTTCCAGTAACTTATATGTAATGCAGATTGAAATTATTGTCAGAAGGTTCCTTATAACATTTTACAAGGTTCAACTGGAAATGCATGAGTAATCTGCATTCTGTCAACATCCATCCCTGGATTTTTAATTCAAAGTGACACGGAAACCTCCGGAAGAGGAAAAGCCAGCAAAGCCAGCTCCTGAAGAGAGTGGCGCTCCGCCTCAAGAACCAACTGCACCGAAGGACAAGACACCCCCACCTCCAACCTCCGGCAACAAGGAGCCAGAACCTTCACCCTCAGGAGGGCCAGGTGTGTTTCGTTTGCAAGTTTTTTTAATGTATATATGTTTATATCGGCCATGTAGTTTTTACGATCAAAATAGCGCAGAATGCACGTACATTTCTCAGATCTCAGAAATGAAATAGGGTTGTCCTGGAAGTCAGGAATGGTTGCCCACATCCGTAATATGCGTTATAGATTGCATGTTATAGACTGCAGAGTGCAAGATACCACATTCCTTTATTTTGCTGTACTTACATGTCCCCGAGTCAATGCAATGTACATTCTGACCACACCCAATCCCTGGCTTTTCTTTCAAAAAACACCGAAACCCCCGGTAGAGGAAAAGCCAACAAAGCCATCTCCTGAAGAGAGTGGCGCTCCGCCTCAAGAACCAACTGCACCGAAGGACAAGACACCCCCACCTCCAACCTGTGGCAACAAGGAGCCAGAACTCTCACCCTCAGGAGGGCCAGGTGTGTTCATTTTGTTACATTATATATACAGGAAGTATACTGCTCAGGATCAAAGCAAATAATGTTACTTAATTGGTTAGATTCCATCAACTAATTAGACTTGCGCCTGGATGAGATTTGGATGGGGGACAACCTGTGTAACAGATGCCATCGGCTGCATATTTATAATGTGGACTACAGAGGGAAGTTTGCCACACCTCTTTATTGTTATGTACTTCCATGCTCCCTCATCCCACGTTCACTAAACCGCACTGAAGAGCATGATGAAGGATGGGGAAACAACCCCCCCAACCCAGACACCGTTGGGAGGCTTTAATAAAGCAGTGTATTGCCAAAGAGCTTGACGTTATTTAGTATCACTTTCCAGTAACTTATTTGTAATGCAGATTGAAAGTATTGTCTTAAGGTTTCTTACAACATTTTACAAGGTTCAACTGAAAATGCATGAGTAATCTGAATTCTGTCAACATTCATCCCTTGCCTTTTCTTTCAAAGTGACACCGAAACCCCCGGGAGAGGAAAATCCAACAAAGCCATCTCCAGAAGAGAGTGGCGCTCCGCCTCCAGAACCAACTGGACCCAAGGACAAGACACCCCCACCTCCAACCTCCAGCAGCAATGAACCGGAACCATCACCCCCAACTTCACGCCCAGGTACCATGGTGGAATTAGTTGCAAAATAACATATGGATTCTATATTAAATGCAATTACATGTTCAATGAAAGCAACCATACACGCTGGTAGGGTCGGGACATTGCCAGTGACAAAAGGCTATCCTATAGTCTTGAAGCATTGCAAAAGTGTGTTTTTGCCCTGCTTCATAGTCTTCTGGTCCGATACTTGGCTCATTTTACAGTAGTGTTTCCTTTATCGGCTGAGAGGATGACTATATCACTTCTGTTTTTTAAATTCGCGAGTTCAGAGCGTTAATTTTTGCTGATGTTACTAATGGGTTTCTTAGCATTCTTAAGAATAGTGGCTATTTCAGCTCTCGCAACGTCTGCTTGGATGTGTCCTACGCCTTTGAGGGCTACATCGACCTGAGAGATGATATCATCTATTGGTATGTGTTTTGGGGTGACAGCAAAATTTAGTCCCCTAGCCAGTACTGTTTTCAGATTGTCCGAAATCGGGGTGCTACTCTGATTAATGACGATTTTGTTAACATCTAGTTTTGTTATATGTGGAACTGGGTTCTTCTTTGATAGGTGGTTGAATTTAGAAATCAGGTTAGCTTTACATTTGACTGACAGTGACTCAGCAGAAGAAGCAGTCATGTTGTCTACGTGATTCATGAAGCGATTCAGATCTACAAACACAGACACAATTTCAACCGAGAGGATGGTTTCAAATTAAGCAACCATTGGAAAGATGTTCTAAATCGAACTAAACATTAAACTAATTTCAATGGTACAGTATATTTTTCGAGTAGTGGTACCCCAAACTTTCGCAGCTCTTATAAATTCCCATTTTCACACCATCAATGGGTAAAATCCCCCTCCCCCCTTTCCCCCCCCCCTCGCCAAACTGCAAGTCCACCGGCACGTACACCACCTCTTTGCTCGCACACAGGTCCGATGTCTGAGCATGGTTGTGTTTCGCTAAATTCTCCTGTTTGATGAGTACTAGGTGCCTCGGTGAATGTATATACTCTGACTTTAACATAGCTATTTCTGTGACCAGTTACTAGCTAATTACTAAACTATTTAAATGCTAAATTTTATGCTAATTCCTTTGTCAAGGGGCACCTCTGCGGATGTGTATACTTTAACTTAGCTATTTCAATGAGCCATTTCAATGCTAAATTATATGCTAATTCCTTTGCCAAAGCCTGTGGTCTTCTTCTTCTTCTCACACAGCTTAAATGTCGTGATCTAAGCGTGGCTTCTTCCACTCCAGCGCTGTCCTCCAGACAGGCTCGTCCCTTCACCTGATGAAGGCCGCTTGTGTTGTGGCTAAAACGTCGTGATTATTGTTGTTTTATTATTTACCTACGTGACTTTACCGAATAGAACCAAAGAGTATGAAGATACTCATTTTATACTTCCTGTGCGTAATGATATACAAAGTTTGTTCTATGCTCAGGTGTGTTAATGTTGCTTGTTTTTAATTAATATATCTTCATACCAGCTGTATAATACTATTGATCAAGTAGCGCAGAATGCGCGTACATTTCCCAGATCTCAGAAACGAATTAGGGTTGCCCTGGATGGCAGGAAAATGTGACCACATTCGTAACATGTGTCATAGACTGCATGTTATAGGCTGCTGAGGGCAGGATAACAAATTCCTTTATTTTGCTGTAATTACATGCTCCCAAGTCAATGCAATATACCTTCTGTCAACACCCATCTCTTGCTTTTCTTTCAAAGTGACACCCAAACCCCCGGTTGAGGAGCAGCCCACAAAGCCCGCTCCAGAAGAGAGTGGCGCTCCGCCTCAAGAACCAACTGGATCAAAGGACAAAACACCCCCACCTCCAACCTCCGGCAACAAGTAGCCAGAATCCTCACCCTCAGGAGGGCCAGGTGTGTTACGTTTGCAAGTTTTTTTTAATGTGTATATGTTTATACCGGCCATATAATACTTACGATCAAGTAGCGCAAAATGCGCGTACATTTCCCAGATCTCAGAAATGAAATAGGTTTGCCCTGGAAGTCAGGAATGGTTGACCACATCTGTAACATGCGTTATAGATTGCATGTTATAGGCTGCAGAGGGCACGATAACACATTCCTTTATTTTGCTGTACTTACATTGTCGCATGTCAGTGCAATGTACATTCTGTCAAAACCCAATCCCTGGCTTTTCTTCCAAAGTGACACCAAAACCCCCGGTTGAGGAAAAGCCAACAAAACCAGCTCCAGCAGAGAGTGGCGCTCCGCCTCAAGAACCAACTGCACCGAAGGACAAGACACCCCCACTTCCAACCTCCGGCATCAAGGAGCCAGAACCCTCACCCTCAGGAGGGCCAGGTTTGTTCATGTTGTTAGATTATATATATGCAGGAAGTATACTGCTTAGGATCAAATCACAGAATGCCACTGAATGTTAGATCTCATCAACGAATTAGACTTGCACCTGGATGAGATTTGAACGGGGGACAACCTGTGTAACAGATGCGTGAGGCTGCATATATATAATGTGGAATGCTGAGGGCAGAATGCCACACCCGTTTATTGTGCTGTACTTTCATGCTCCCTCATCCCACGTTCACTAAACCACACTGAAGAGCATGATGAAGGATGGTCAAATAACCCCCCCAACCCAGACACCGTTGGGAGGCTTTAATAAAGCAGTGTATTGGCAAAGAGCTTGACGTTATTTAGTTTAACTTTCCAGTAACTTATTTGTAATGCAGATTGAAAGTATTGTCTTAAGGTTGCTTACAACATTTTACAAGGTTCAACTGATAATGCATGAGTAATCTGAATTCTATCAACCTTCATCCCTTGCCTTTTCTTTCAAAGTGACACCCAAACCGCTGGGAGAGGAAAAGCCAACAAAGCCAGCTCCAGAAGAGAGTGGCGCTCCGCCTCAAGAACCAACTGGAGCCAAGGACAAGACACCCCCACCTCCAACCTCCAGCAGCAATGTGCCCGAACCATCACCCCCAACTTCAGGCCCAGGTACCATGGTAGAATAAGTTGCAAAATAACATATGGATACTATATTAAATGCAATCACATGTTCAATGAAAGCAACCATATGCGCTGGTAGGGTCGGGACATTGCCAGTGGCAAAAGGCTATGCTATGGTCCTGAATCATTGCAAAAGTGTGTTTTTGTCCTGCTTCATAGTCTTCTGGTCCGATATTTGGCTCATTTTACGGTAACAGGGTGGGAATAACGGACTCTATGCTGTGTACCTTACCGAGCAGTAGGTCAGCCTGCTTCAGAGTGACACTACCAACTATGTGAGCAGTGCTGGTGATTAAGGCAGCATATTTACATAAAAGTGGGTGGTGCTAACAGAAGGTTTGTCAGCTCACTGCTCTTTAGCTTTGAGCCTCCACAACATTCTGAAGCTTTACGTACGTTAATTCAGTATGAAAATACTCATTCTATTCCGGTGCAAAATGATATACGTAGTTTGTTGAATGCTCATAGCAATGGAGCATTCATAGTTTTGATACATTTTATAGCTTTCAGAACATTACCTTGGAGAAAAAGGAGTTGATTTATATAGTAATTGTTTGAAGACTGATTAAGAATGTATCTTTGCAGAAGACTGTGCTCCAGGCTGGTCTGATTGGTATGATGAGCAATATCCTGATGAAGAAAATGGCGGAGATGAGGAATCTTACCAGAAGGTCATCTCCTCAGGGAAAGTGGTTTGTCTGCCTGACTCACCAGTGCAAAACATTGAATGCAAAGCAGAGAGATTCCCTAATACCCCATGGGAGGAATTGGGCCAGACAATCACTTGTGACAAGAATCAAGGACTGAAATGTGTCAATGAGGATCAAGGAGGACTGCCATGTTACAACTACAAGGTCAGATCCTGCTGCTCCAGAGCAAGTGGACCCCCTGCACCAAGTCCATCTTCACGAAGCCCAGGTACATTGGAAAAATTATTTGCAAAGCACATGGATAATATATGACATGTCATCATATCCATAATGTTTTCTGGGTTAGATCGTATGAATATAAATTCGTTTTTAACTCCGCCACCACCCGAACCAGCCAATTAGTAAGGTTTGTGCTCCTCCTCCAGGACCAACTGCATCGAAGGACAAGACACCTGCACCTCCAACCTCCAGCAACAAGTAGCCAGAACCCTCACCCTCAGGAGGGCCAGGTGTGTTACGTTTGCAAGTTTTTTTTTAATGTGTATATGTTTATACCGGCCATATAATCCTTACGATCAGTAGCGCAAAATGCGCGTACATTTCCCAGATCTCAGAAATGAAATAGGTTTGCCCTGGAAGTCAGGAATGGTTGACCACATCTGTAACATGCGTCATAGATTGCATGTTATAGGCTGCAGAGGGCACGATAACACATTCCTTTATTTTGCTGTACTTACATTGTCGCATGTCAGTGCAATGTACATTCTGTCAAAACCCAATCCCTGGCTTTTCTTCCAAAGTGACACCAAAACCCCCGGTTGAGGAAAAGCCAACAAAGCCAGCTCCAGCAGAGAGTGGCGCTCCGCCTCAAGAACCAACTGCACCGAAGGACAAGACACCCCCACCTCCAACCTCCGGCATCAAGGAGCCAGAACCCTCACCCTCAGGAGGGCCAGGTGTGTTCATGTTGTTAGATTATATATATGCAGGAAGTATACTGCTTAGGATCAAATCACAGAATGCCACTGAATGTTAGATCTCATCAACGAATTAGACTTGCGCATGGATGAGATTTGAACGGGGGACAACCTGTGTAACAGATGCGTGAGGCTGCATATTTATAATGTGGAATGCTGAGGGCATAATGCCACACCCATTTATTGTGCTGTACTTTCATGCTCCCTCATCCCACGTTCACTAAACCACACTGAAGAGCATGATGAAGGATGGTCAAATAACCCCCCCAACCCAGACACCGTTGGGAGGCTTTAATAAAGCAGTGTATTGGCAAAGAGCTTTACGTTATAATGTTTAACTTTCCAGTAACTTATTTGTAATGCAGATTGAAAGTATTGTCTTAAGGTTGCTTACAACATTTTACAAGGTTCAACTGAAAATGCATGAGTAATCTGAATTCTATCAACCTTCATCCCTTGCCTTTTCTTTCAAAGTGACACCGAAACCCCTGGGAGAGGAAAAGCCAACAAAGCCAGCTCCAGAAGAGAGTGGCGCTCCGCCTCAAGAACCAACTGGAGCCAAGGACAAGACACCCCCACCTCCAACCTCCAGCAGCAATGTGCCCGAACCATCACCCCCAACTTCAGGCCCAGGTACCATGGTGGAATAAGTTGCAAAATAACATATGGATACTATATTAAATGCAATCACATGTTCAATGAAAGCAACCATATGCGCTGGTAGGGTCGGGACATTGCCAGTGGCAAAAGGCTATGCTATGGTCCTGAATCATTGCAAAAGTGTGTTTTTGTCCTGCTTCAGAGTCTTCTGGTCCGATATTTGGCTCATTTTACGGTAACAGGGTGGGAATAACGGACTCTAAGCTGTGTACCTTACCGAGCAGTAGGTCAGCCTGCTTCAGAGTGACACTACCAACTATGTGGGCAGTGCTGGTGATTAAGGCAGCATATTTACATAAAAGTGGGTGGTGCTAAAAGAAGGTTTGGCAGCTCACTGCTCTTTAGCTTTGAGCCTCCACAACATTCTGAAGCTTTACGTACGTTAATTCAGTATGAAAATACTCATTCTATTCCGGTGCAAAATGATATACGTAGTTTGTTGAATGCTCATAGCAATGGAGCATTCATAGTTTTGATACATTTTATAGCTTTCAGAACATTACCTTGGGGAAAAAGGAGTTGATTTATATAGTAATTCTTCTTTGGTTCTTTCGGTAAAGTCACGTAGAATGAGAATAAAATAATAACTTGATAAAATAAAATAACACAATAATATTCTCACGACGTTTCGGCCACAACACAAGCGGCCTTCATCAGGTGAAGGGACGAGACTGTCTGGTAGGACAGTCTTGTGTTGTGGCCGGAACTTCGTGAGAATTTGATTGTTTATTTTATTATTTTATTCTCATTCTACGTGACTTTACCGATAGAACCAAAGAAGATGAATCATTGCAGTCACGAAAGCTTTAAATCGAAATATATAGTAATTGTTTGAAGACTGATTAAGAATGTATCTTTGCAGAAGACTGTGCTCCAGGCTGGTCTGATTGGTACGATGAGCAATATCCTGATGAAGAAAATGGCGGAGATGAGGAATCTTACCAGAAGGTCATCTCCTCAGGGAAAGTGGTTTGTCTGCCTGACTCACCAGTGCAAAACATTGAATGCAAAGCAGAGAGATTCCCTAATACCCCATGGGAGGAATTGGGCCAGACAATCACTTGTGACAAGAATCAAGGACTGAAATGTGTCAATGAGGATCAAGGAGGACTGCCATGTTACAACTACAAGGTCAGATTCTGCTGCTCCAGAGCAATTGGACCCCCTGCACCAAGTCCATCTTCACGAAGCCCAGGTACATTGGAAAAATTATTTGCAAAGCACATGGATAATATATGACATGTCATCATATCCATAATGTTTTCTGGGTTAGATCGTATGAATATAAATTCGTTTTTTAACTCCGCCACCACCCGAACCAGCCAATTAGTAAGGTTTGTGCTCCTCCTCCAGGACCAACTGGATCAAAGGACAAGACACCCGCACCTCCAACCTCCGGCAATAAGGAGCCAGAACCGACACCCCCCGAAGGGCCAGGTGTGTTACATTTGCAAGTTTTTGTTAATGTATATATGTTTATCCCGGCCATTTAATACTTACGATAAAATAGCGCAGAATGCACATACATTTCCGAAATCTCCGAAATGAAATAGGTTTGCCCTGGAAGTCAAGATTGGTTGACCACATCTGTAACATGCGTTATAGATTGCATGTTATAGGCTGCAGAGGGCAGGATAACACATTCGTTTATTTTGCTGTACTTACATGTTCCCAAGTCAATGCAATATACATTCTGTCAACACCCAATCCCTGGCTTTTCTTTCAACATGACACCGAAACCCCCAGTTGAGGAAAAGCCAACAAAGCCAGCTCCAGAAGAGAGTGGCGCTCCTCCTCAAGAACCAACTGGACCGAAGGACAAGACACCCGCACCTCCAACCTCCAGCAGCAATGAGCCAGAACCATCACCCCCAACTTCAGGCCCAGGTACCATGGTGGAATTAGTTGCAAAGTCACATATGTATAATATATTAAATGCAATCGTATGTTCAATGTGTAGTGTTGTAAGGACGAGCAGACTTCTTTAGGAGGCACACTCTGTTTATTGTATTATTTCCTTATACATCGCTTAACACACACAGAGGGATATTCGGTCCCCTCACCCGATACCCTAGGGAGGTACAGCCTCCGGACTTGGCGGGACTCACACGTCTACCGCTAACCTCCTTGATACCTAAGGAGGTACAACCTCCGGACTTGGCGGGACTCACACGTCTACCGTTATCCTAGTCCTCCGGCTAGGACCTAGGGGAGGCTATCTGACCCACCGCTGGCCCGGTGGGTCCTGACCACTGGGTATGCCGAGCCTTAGCCCTTAGAAGGGCTGAAAGGCTGGTCCAGGGTCCTAGCTAGGCTTCAGCCCAGTCTTCTGTCTTCGTGCAGGGAGAGAACTCCCGAGGTCCGTTGGGTCACCCGTCTTATACCCCTTCGTGGCCAGGTAGAACCAATCATACATTCCCACATGGAACCGTCTGATTGGTTCGCACCAAACCCTGGCCACGATCCGTTTCACCTCGACTGACCCCAACAGTTGTACCCAGGGGTAATGCTGCACTGCCCTGGTGGCAACGCAGGTTACGCAACAGCGCGTAGTTAACACCTCTACATCACCCCTCCTTCGGAAGCTCCAGTCGTCCCGGCTGCAACAATGGGAAACTCCGAAATTACCAACGGTAGAAGAATTGTGAGTGTGCCTCACGAACAACAAGAACAATTAAACCCCTATAAATACCCCCCTTAACAACATAACGTATGTACAAGGCACTAGACATGCCAAAAAAAACATTATAATAACCGGCGAGATTTCGCGCGCGTGCGTTTCGCGGGACCATCGTAGGGGATGGCAGGCTTTGTCGGCGGCACAAGGGAAGGAGGAGGATGAGCCAGAGCATCCGGTGGGCCTTTATGCATCTCCACGGGGACACCTGCTGCTCCACGGTCCATTGAGGCCGAACGTGGCCTGCATGGAGCCGTCACTCCCGCGTCATCTGCAGGAGGAATGACACGCCTGCGCTGCGGGTTAGGCACCAACGGGGCAACATCCGGCTCGTCGGACGCATCGCACACTCGGCCCCCATGTCGTGTGTGTTGTGGAGGGACGCGTGGCGTGACGAAGGGTTTTAACCGAGAGGGGTGAACGCACCAGCGACGCCGTCCCCAGCTAATTTTAACACATTGGGGACGCAGGACTTCCACTACCTCAACCGGGCCTCGCCATGGTCTGAGGACTTTGGCCGACGTGGACACCGGCACCTGGGGGCAGTGGAGCCATGCCCTGTCTCCCGGTGCCCACCGATGCGTGTACGACCGAGGGTCCCGCAGTCACAAATTCGCCCGTTGGCGGGAAGCCGAATTTTCAATGGCGGCCTCCCGTGCCTCGGCCAACTTACGGAGGTTGAATCGCAAGTGGTCAACGAGCTTTGACTTTTGCGGTGGCTGTTCGATTTCCAGCCGAACGTCGGCGGGAGGAAAGGCATCCCTGCCGCACATTAGAAAGAACGGGGAAAATCCCGTCGCCGCGTGAGGTGCCATACGGTATGCGGCGAGGACCCCCGGAACCTGCAAGTCCCAATGGAGGTGGGATTCATCGACCTGATGGCATAACATAGCGGTGAGAGTTCTATGAAGGCGCTCCACCATGCCGTCGGTCTGGGGATGGTAGGGCGAAGTGCGCACTTTCTTAGTGCCCAACAGGCGGCACACATCAGTCAGCAAGGCTCCTGAAAAATTTCTTCCCTGATCGGTCAGCAACCGTTCTGGTGCGCCCTTGTCCAGGACGTAGCCTTGAACAAAGGCATCCACAACGGCCGCCGCCGACTGGTTGGGGAGGGCCCAGGCCATAGGCCACCGTGTAAAATACTCTACCCCAACCAGAAGGTACTTATTACCCCGTGGCGTAGTAGGAAAAGGGCCCAAAATATCGAGAGCCACCAACTCATTTATACGAGAGACCGAAATGGGTTGCAGGGGTGGACATGCCGGTTTAGCCGGCGGTTTACGTTGCGCACAATGGGTGCACCCCAGCAAAATGTCAGTGACGTCGCGCAGCATGCCCGGCCAGAAAAATTGCAACCGCAACAACCCAATGGTCTTATGAACACCCAGGTGCAATAAACGCTCATGCGCCGCCCATACGGCCTTGCATCGCAAGGCGGATGGCACGACGATTTTATGTTGACACGAGTCAGCATCCCAATGCATCAACAAGCCGCGCTTCATGACAAATGAATTAAATTTGCCCTGTCTTGGAACCGCATTATTCGCGTGGCGACGCAACCTCAATAACGACATGTCCTCGCCCTGGTGCCGACCCCATTCGGCCAAAGTTAGCCCCAGCAAATCGTCACTGGCCATTGGATCTGCGTGATCCAACATCGGCGCTGAGGCGGCGGGAAGTGCGGCTGACACCGTTGTGAGAGGCGCGACCTGCGCAGGCAGTGGCGGCTTACAACGGCCCAAGCCCAAAAAACACGCGCATTTTTGAGCCGGCGGAAGGCGAGACAACGCATCGGCATTCGTGTGTTGTGCACCCCTACGGTAAGTGACATTGAAATCGTAGTCCTGAAGGACTTCGAGCCACCGAGAAAGCTGCCCGGACGGTTGGTCAACCCGCAGAGCGTACTGTAAAGCCGAATGATCAGATCGCACGGTAAAATGCTGACCATACAGGTACGGCCTGTATTGCTGAATAAAAAAAACAATGGCCAGCAGCTCACGTCTGGTCACACAGTATCTTTGTTCAGCAAGAGACAAGACTCTGCTACCATAGGCAACAACCCTTTCAATGCCATCAACTTTTTGGGACAGAACACCCCCAATCCCCGTATTGCTAGCGTCGGTGTCCAACACGAATGGCACGGAAAAATCGGGGTACGCAAGGGATGGTGCCGTCACGAGCGCGTTCCGCAAGGAGTCAAACGCAGCCTGTTCTGCGTCCCCCCAATGAAACGCCACCCCTTTTGACGTAAGGACGTGGAGCGGCTTGGCAATCGTTGCGAAGCCAGCAACAAACCGGCGGTAGTACGACGCAAAACCAATAAAACTACGAACATCGCCCGCAGATGTAGGGGTCGGCCAATGTTGAACACATTTGGTTTTTTCAGGGTCGGTAGAGATGCCCGAGCGGCTAACTATGTGGCCCAGATAGCGCACAGACTCACGCAGAAGGTGACACTTCTGCGGCTTGAATTTCAAGTTAGCGGCCCGCATTTTCAAGAAGACAGCACGCAACCGTTCGATGTGTTCGCCGAACGTGCGGCTAAAGACGATGACGTCGTCAAGATAAATGAGACATGAGTCCCACTGGAGCCCAGCGAGGACCAGCTCCATGAGCCTCTGGAACGTCGCTGGGGCCGAGTGGAGACCCATGGGCAATCTATTAAACTCGAAAAGGCCCTGTGGTGTCCGAAAAGCAGTCTTAGGTTTTGACGATTCGTCGAGGGGGAGTTGCCAAAACCCCGACAGAAGGTCCAAGGTGGAGAAATAGTGCGCCCCTGCCAGGGCATCCAATGACTCGTCCATACGAGGGAGAGGGTAGGCGTCCGCTACCGAGATTTTATTTAGGTGCCGAAAATCAACGCAAAAACAGAGACTGCCATCGTGCTTTTTGACCAGCACTATTGGAGCACCCCAGGGACTAGTGGAGGGAGAAATTATATCGGCCTTCAGCATGTCATCCACAGCCGATTTAACATGCTGTTTCTCCGCCGGGCTAAGCCGAAACGGGTTTTGTCGAATCGGGGCAGCGTCACCAGTATCAATGTGGTGACGCAGCAGCTTGGTGCAGCCAATATCAAATTTAGATTTACTAAAGACATCAGAAAATTCTAGCAGAAGAGCGCGCAATTTAATTCGCTGCGAATGAGACAGATCACCCGTGTCTGTGCAGAGCGCGTCCAACCATCTCTCATCCGATTCGGAAGGAGGTGGGACCTGCGGCGTGTCATGCACGTGTCCCGCGACTCCGGTCCCCAACGGCACCGGGGTCGCGTGAGCGAGCACAGTTCCTTGCGGAATGACGGTTGTGGACAATCCGACATTCAAAACCTGCAAGAACGGCTCCCTGTCGGCTGCTACGAGGGTCTGTGCAGCCACCAAATCTAACCCCTTAGCAGCTGCGTTTGAAGGCCCCAGCAAAATGCCATGTGCCGAGGCCTCCGGGGCTAGCGGTTTTTTTAAGTTGGAAGGGCACGAGCATTTGTGTCCCTGGTGGAATGCGGACTGTGCTCGCAACAAACGCCTGCACCGAGGCACTAGCCATGCGCGGATGTGAGGGTGTGGGCAAGAACGCCATCCGTCGACCCGACGGGAGTTCGATGCAGCCTTGATCTACAAGGATCTTAATAGGCATTTTCGCGAGAAAATCAGTGCCTAACAAACACGGCACGGCGAGGGAAGAAGAGACCAAAATAGGCCCTGCCAATTTAGTGTCTCCAATTGAAATTTGCGCCCGAATTTGCCCAATAATGCCAAGTGAACTGCCATTAGCGGCGAAACACGGGATAGAAACCCGTTCCAAGGGGCGGTGAGTCCTGCAGCGCCAATCCCCACCACCAACACCACAAACGATACCATTGACCACACTGCCACCACGCGAGGTTCTCACCGATGTCTGCCGCTCTCTGTATCCCCGCGTGACCGCAGGCGGAAGAATGCGATGTGAAAGCCCCCTCCGTAAGTTTGCCTGTCCTCACAGACCGCATCAACCACCACCACGGCTCACAACTCACTCGCTCACTTGCTAACTTTCTCACCCACTCACTCAACCAACTCGTTCGCTCGCTTACTAATTCAAAAACAAAAAAGACCCCCCACATAGCCTTAATGTGCTGTTGTTGGGTAAGTACTGTCAGCAAGGCCAGCACAGCTGAGTCGACCTAGGAGAGGCCCAGGACCGATTCAGATATTCACCAGCGTTATTGGTCGTGAGCGGGAATCAAACTCGGGTCGCCGGGTCCATAGCGCAGCACGCTAACCGCCACACTGCCGCTCTCCCCACACTCACCACCCAACTCAGCCACCCACCCACTCACCGCACTGCAGGTCACGTCCACTTCTCTGTCCGCTTCTTCCCTCGCACCGCTCAACAGTAGAATTACCTCCCTCCCGTCATCGTCTCTTTCCCGAAGCTTCGGACAACTTTCGGTCCATATCAACGAACAGAATTGAATCACGAACACCTTTGGCAATCGCACCGTTTCTCACGGTGCCAGGAGGGTCTGTCCCATGGCCTCCTGCCGGCGGGTAGCGTTCAACACACCTCACATGATGGCCTTAACGTGCACATAGCCTGGCACAAGCGCCATGGTGATGTCACCGCCACTTAGTGGCAAATAGCGGCTGTTGTCGTTGTGATGCTAATCGAGTAATTTGCGGTAAAAAATTTTGTGTTCGAAATTGGCAAATTTGTCTTTTTGACGTGCCCAGCGTGCGCATTGGCCTGCTACTCTTTTCGCGAATGGCGGCACGGGATGTTTTGTATTTGACGTCCTCCATGGTGAAATGTCATTGGGCAGAGGTCGAAAATGCCCTCCAACTCCTGGTCGATGGCAGCGCCCTGAGAGGCAGGAGCCACGCGAAGGCCTGCGAGAGGACCTGCCAGACCATCAACTTGCCCTGCGTGAGTACACTCGACCCCCCCTTAGACACAGCCCACGGGGTTGGTTTTCACCCACCACTCAGAGGGTTCTGTTCTATGCTCTCTTGTATGATCGCAGCAGCAGCAGTAGCAGCATCAGCGATATGATTCAGCAGTTAAATAGCCAATGTCTGAGGGCTGCTTGCCACGACAAGAGGGCTTAAGAGGAGAAAGTTAGCGTCGCTTTGCTACTCTTCTTTAGAAAGAGCGCAGACCAAAGTGGCTTACTACCTGTTCCATGCCACTCGGGTAGCTTTGTCCTTTGCCCATGTCATGCATTGAGCATAGGGACATAAAGTATTAAACCGTGGGATATGAATTCAGACTTTAGCAAATGTCCTTTACTGGCTTTTAAGCTATTTGGTCTGTGCTTAGCAACAGTGATAATCGTATGCTTCAGGGCACAAGCTTTTTGACCTGTGTGATGGTGGTGGTTGAACACAGTATGGACGGGACGAAACGGTTAGTGTCCAGTAGAGATAGAGTCCTCAACACGGGCGAGTGAAGCTCACAGGAACGAGTAACCACGGTAGTAGTAGCGATAGAAGAGCGACCAGCAGGCGACTGACTGCCGGTGAGCAATCAGGAGCTGACTGGAGTGAATCGGTGAGTGCTGGAGCATCGATCGCCCCCCGTGACAACTGATTCACTCCGAATTCTCTCTGCTGCAGCAGTGAGGCAGTCACTGGGCACTCCACTACAGCCACGACAGCAGCAGGGGAAAACGTCAGCCGAAAAATGTGCTTCGTGCGACAGTGATAATTGCTCGGCGTTAAAGACGAAGGACTTTGACATGGAGAGGAAAAAGCGACCTTCGATGCCCTCTCGGCCAGACTAGTAGCACAGGCATTGCGTGATGGATGGCTCGGAGTGAAAGGCGAATCCCCGGCTTCTTACTCTTCCTCTGTGTTGTTTTCCCAACTTCTCGGCCTCCGTCTTAGCCGCCGTGCGAATCGGACTGCCCATGCGGGGATGGACTCATCCCAGACAACAACGGCAACTGTATCCCGCCGGAGGATTGCCCGTGCCGGCACCACGGCATTGTCTATGGCAAGGGGGGTACAATCAAGGTGGACTGCAACGTGTGGTGAGCGAGTGGGGGCTTAGCGCGGCACGGCTGTCCCGAGCCTGGTGGCTGCGCATTAAGATGGCTACCGCTTTGTGTGTGGGGGGGGGGGGGAAAGACAACAGCATTTCTTCACCTGCATAGGTTTAGGACGCAGAAACTTGAATTACGGCGCGTCTTCCGACAAGACTCCGAGCACATTTGGACATGGTCCAGTTTCCAGTGTCATTTTGGCGCAGCGAGCTTTTGTATAATTATTAGTGCGTTGGTGAATTTTGTACCGGTTAAACCCCGTTGAATGTGGCTGATAAGGAGGAAAAAGACACACGTGCAAGCGACGCGTCTACTGTTTCTGCCATTTATGGGAGAATAAAAGGTATCCGATTTACAAGGACGGGGTTTTCCAGGAGCGCATCCGTGACATTGTGAAAGCCTGTGACGTCATATCCGGGCGGCGCGGAAGCCACCTACTTTTGGTTCTCCTTAGACTTAACCAAATACCCGTCGGGATATAAATTGTTTTTGTTATTCCGAGAGAAAGTATTGGGCTAGGGGGTTTGAAGGGCCCGCCGCCCCCTCCCTTTGAGACGTCGCGCGCGTGCGTGGGTGCAGCACGTGCGGCAGCGGCGCGTGGAGCTGCAACTCGGCCGAGTGCCCTGGCACGTGCCGCATGTACGGGGACGGCCACTACGTCACCTTCAACGGCAAGAGGTTCGTCTTCGACGGGAACTGCGACTCCAGCATCGTGCAGGTGGGCACCAGAACGGACGCGCCTTGCTCACGCACGCCACGGACTGACGTCGGGCGAGTGAATTAATTAATTTATAATTAATCCGTAACAATAATTTGTGATTATCAGGCGCCTTTCACGATAAAATCTCAAGGCGCCACGCACAAAGAAGAATAAGCATGAACCGGGGGGGGGGGGGGGGGTGGGAGGGGCAGAAGAAGATCCAGAGGATCAAAGTGCATGAGAGGAAACTGGTTTTTGGTCGGGACTTACAAACATCGACATTTCTACATGTGTGTTGAACTTCTTTCGCACCGTACTTAGCCAACCGTGCTAATCGGAGGTGCGGGGTAAGGACAACAAACTAAACACAACAAGCAGTTCAAAAGAAATGTAGTATAGTACAATTCTCACGACGTTTCGACTGCAACACAAGCAATCATCAACAGGTGTGAAACCCACAGCAAGAAAATTTTAAAAAAGTGGCGTTTTTTCTTTCAAATTTTCTTGCTGTGGTTTTCACACCTGATGATGATTGCTTGTGTTGCAGTCGAAACGTCGTGAGAATTTAATTATTTATACTTTTATTATTTTATTATTTCCCTTCTACGTGACTTTACCGAAAGAACCAAGAATATGTAGTACAGTGGTGCAGTGTATAGCAGTGTTAAGTGTAGTGTATAGTAGTGTAGTGTTTAGTAGTGGAGTGTATAGTGTAGTGTATAGTAGTGTAGTATATAGTGTAGTATATAGTGTAGTATGTAGTGTAAAGTGTAGTATGTAGTGTAGTATATAGTGTAGTGTAGTACATAGTGTAAAGTGTAGTATGTAGTGTAGTGTATAGTGTAAAGTGTAGTATAGTAGTGTAGTGTATAGCAGTGTAGTACAGTAGTGTATAGTGTAGTATATAGTGTAGTATGTAGTGTAGTATACTAGTGTAGTGTATAATAGTATAAGGCAGTGTGTAGTGGTAGTATAAGGTAGTGTATAGTGTAGTGGTGTATAGTAGTGTATAGTAGTGTAGTGTATAGTAGTGTATAGTGTAGTGTGTAGTGTATAGTAGTGTATAGTGTAGTGTGTAGTGTAGTGTATAGTAGTGTAGAGTAATGTTTACTGTATAGTGTAATATGTAGTGTATAGTGTAGTGTATAGTAATGTATAGTGTATAGTGTAGTGTATAGTGTAGTGTATAGTGTAGTGTCTAGTATAGTGTGTAGTGTAGTGTATAGTGGTGTATAGTGTAGTGTATAGTATAGTGTGTAGTGTAGCGTATAGTGGTGTATAGTAATGTTTACTGTATAGTGTATAGTACACTATACACTTTACAGCAGGCAGCGCCACAACTGGGTGGGGGAGAATGATCGCACAAAATGGACGGATTTACCTATGGACGAACGGAGGGATGCACGACGATTGGATGGATGGATCACCTAATTGCGCTCGTTTTGTGCCGACCAGGACTACTGCTCCACAGCTGAGGGCAACTTTCAAATCATCACCGGCAAGGACTGCAGCGCTGTGGACTCGAGCTGCTCCAAGGCGATCCGCTTCTACATCAAGGTGAAGTCAAGAGCCACTCCAATGGCCGGCTGACCGCGCTGCGACGCGGGCTGGGTTAAGCGCGAGCTTTCCAAGCGCTGCGAGTTGATGAGCTTGCGCGTCTTGGTGTACGCGCGAGTCGATTGGTTTCTTCGATAAGTCTACGCTGTTCTAGATTTGAAGCTTTCGTGACTGCAAGGATCCATACTCTTTGGTTCTATTCGGTAAAGTGACGTAGGTAAAAAATAAAACAACAAAAATCACGACGTTTCGGCCACAAAACAAGCGGCCTTCATCACCTGATGAAGGCCGCTTGTGATGAAGGCCGCTTGTGTTGTGGCGAAACGTCGTGATTTTTGTTGTTTTATTTTTTACCTACATGACTTTACCGAATAGAACCAAAGAGTAAGTCTTCGCTGGCTCTTTGTTCTTGGCATAGCAATTGAGTGTGCAAACGAGGGAGTGCAAAAGTTCGCGGTGTCCACGTGCCAGAAGAGGTCCAGGAAGTTTAGACGACAGGTTCCCTCACCCCCATCGCCAGTTTAGTTTATTCCCTGGCATCAGGGTCCATGCCGAATGTGCTTGGCCACTGGGGTCTTTCCGTCGTCTCCCTCCCTCCTTCAAACTTTCCCTCACCTCCCTCTGTAACCCCCCCTCACCTCCCTCCGTCTTCTCCCTCCCTCTCTCCCTTCCTCGTCCACTACAGGATTACAACGTGGAGGTTCACATGGTGGCCGGGGAGGTGATAGTGGTGCCCGTGGCCGGAAAGATCCCGGCGATGGTGGATGACCTGACCATCCACTCGGTGGGGCTCTACCGCATGGTGCAGACCGGCATCGGCATCATGGTCATGTGGGACCGGCGCACGAGCATCTTCGTCAAGGTCGACTCCAAGTACAAGGTCAGCGTCGCGGTGGTGGTGTTGGTGGTGATTTTGGTGGTGGTTGGTGGTGATGGTACTGGAGGTGGTGGTGGCGTCATGGTCACGTGGGACCAGCGCACAAGCATCTTCGTCACAGGTCGACTCCAAGTACACGGTCAGGGCCAAAGCCAAGGTGGTGCAATGTGCAGGAGATAGAAATGGACGGTGGTTGCTATGCTGCTGCTGGACGTGGCTGCCTCCCCCGCGGTGCGATCAAGCTCCGTGGAGGCTGCAGCGAGGGTTCGGCGGATCCCTGCACAGATGTTGCGAATATCCCTTCCCCTAGGATGCGGCGTTGAGGAGGATCCACACCCTGGCTCGCCAGGAGTTGGCAGTGGAGCACGTGGATTAATAGCCATCTGTTTCGATCTGCATGGGGTAGTGGTGTTGTTGCCCTCTCGGGTACATGGGTTGTCTTTGTGTATATGTGTATAAGCACTTAATAATTAGCTGAAAAACATTAACACATCGAGGTCCGTAGGGCTTGGGCAGCTGTTGGCACCGGGATCATTTTCCTACTCCCTTTCCCACTCGTCTACTATTAATCGCGTGTCCGAGTTGTTCTGTCTTTTCAACGGGGAGAGCGAAACCTGTGCGTGTAGAATAATAATAATGATTCCGCTTATTATTGTTAGATGGAGGTGAGCGAGAGATTATAAGCCAGTCTCCAGACCTTAATCCCATAGAAAATCTGTGGAGGGAGCTGAAGGTTCGAGTTGCCAAACGTCAGCCTCGAAACCTTAATGACTTGGAGAAGATCTGCAAGGAGGAGTGGGACATAATCCCTCCTGAGATGTGTGCAAACCTGGTGGCCAACTACAAGAAACGTCTGACCTCTGTGATTGCCAACAAGGGTTTTGCCACCAAATACTAAGTCATGTTTTGCAGAGGGGTCAAATACTTATTTCCCTCATTAAAATGCAAATCAATTTATAACATTTTTGACATGCGTTTTTCTCGATTTTGGTGTTGTTATTCTGTCTCTCACTGTTCAAATAAACCTACCATTAAAATTATAGACTGATCATTTCTTTGTCAGTGGGCAAACGTACAACATCAGCACGGGATCATATACTTTTTCCCTCACTGTATATTTTAAATAAAAAAACCCACACTTTTATCCTGCTCAAATGATTATTCAGACTTCTCCAAAGAGTCTTAATCAGCATATAGATCCCAGACGGATGATGGAGGCCGAGTTGTCACCTCCCAACCAGAGATTTGCAATCTTTCGATTGCGAGCCACTCGCTCAACTGCCGAGCCAACTGCCCGGACAAAGAGAGGTGTTAGGGACAAAGAGAATTGTGGAGCACTGCAAATGGTTGCTTATAACCATGCCGACGGAACGGCCTCTTAGAGGGGAGTTCTAGAAAGTCCTACACCGGCGAGATGTCCCGGAAGAGATCGGAGCTGCGTACTTTACTCCTCCACATGCGCATGATCTGCCGATCTTAGATCCATACCTGTCAACACCTTATTAGTGCCCTACCTTATTACAGACCAATTCAGACCTTATTGGTCATCCCGTGCCCCTTATAAATCTCTCAACGTTCATCCTACAAAGTCCCATCACACTACTATAGTATACTGCTACACTATTATACTACTACACTACTACTACTATACTACTTTAGTATGCTGCTATACTACTACTACACTATTATGCTAAACTACTATACTACTACACTACGATAGTAAACGCTGAAAACATACGGCAACACCTAAAAAAAGTTATGTCATACAAGAATGCCCAAAATGAAGTTATTTTAAATTATGATGTTTGGTGATTTTCCGGCGTTTATGAAAATCTGCCCCCTCCCTCCCCACCGGAAAGCCACCGGATAATTATAATTATTAGATTTGGATCATTCGAGTTCAAGTTGATACAGTTTCTCTCGCGAATCCGAGGGGGTCACCCCCTTTGGGCTGCCCGGGAGCCGTAAACTCTCGGCTTCATTTCGCTCACGGCTCGGTGCCACCCCGTTCCCGACCCCCCCCACCCACCCCAGGGCACCCTGTGCGGCCTCTGCGGCAACTACAATGGGCGCGACAGCGACGACTTGACAGCGGCCGACGGCTCCACGGCCGCGTCCGTGCTGGCGTTCGGCAACAGTTGGAGGATAAAGGAGAGCTGCGCCACCATGACAGAGGCGGCGGAGCCTTGCCAGCAGAATCCGCACCCCCAAGCGTGGGCGCTGCGCCAGTGTCACGTCCTCGCCAGTGACGTCTTCATTCGTGCCACGACCACGTGAGTCGCCTACGGACGGCGTGGACGGGGCGGGTCGGGGGGGGGCGGCTGGCCGCTGGTGGCCTCTGTAACTCGACACGCAGCCATGAAGCCCCCTCGGACTACCCGTGGGTCGTCGATGGTTCACGATGAGAAGGCATGAGGAGCAAGTGGAGGGGTTAATGATATAAATAGACACCCAAATATATGACCACAGAGCTTAGGCAATTGTTGACACTGGTTCTGGCTGCCTTCCTGCTTGTCTGTGGTTTCCCCGTGGCCATGGTAGCGTGCACCATACAACTATATGTTTTTTTTTTCAGGCTAGATCGTGTGAATATAAATGTGTCGTTAAATCCGCCACCACCCGACACAGCCACATTTATATTTACGCAATCTCACCCAAAAAAACAAAATGGATAATATTAGTTTGCGAAAGCCTATGCGTTAAACAAATTATACACCTTTGTGCAACGCTGTTTGCGGCTGAGTGATAACCAGTGACGATTATCTGAACTGGTTCTGGGCCTCCCCTGGGTCGACTCAGCCTCAATAAGTACCTGGTCCAGTGTGTAAACATCGCCACTGGGGAAACAAAGGACAGCCCGGCGTGGTGCGGGCCACCCATGCCCTCATGTACTGTGCTGGCCTTCATAGGTGCCCGCTAACAGGAGATATTTGTGTTTGTATTTGTCTTGACCGTGCATGCGAGGAGGCGTGTGAAGTGTGTGTTGACCGTTCAAGTATTGGACTTTCTGATGACCGGTACCAGCAGTGTCAAGATCGGCCTTTCTGCAGGAGGGTCAGGAAGGATGCTGCTGGGGAGTTGGAGGCAGTCACCCTCCAGCAACAACGGGGGGCAGAAGAACGACGCTCACAACAATGAGTGGAGTGCCGGGCGGCTAAAATGCAGAAAGTTAGCACAGTGTGGAGCACAGTTGGTGCATCTGCCAGTCATTTCAGTCAGTGAACCCATGGCACCTGGGTCTGTTCCGTGACCTCCTGCCAGCAGGCCTTCGACACTTTACGCGGCCTCTAAGTGCATATCGCCTGGCACAAGCGGGCCTCCGTGGTGACGTCACCGCCACTTAGTGGTGAACGGCGGTTGTTGTTGTTATGTGGACGTCCTCGACACTCGACGTGGCTGCGCCTCTCCCTTGTCTTTCTGTCGGCGACTGATCGCGGATTTCCAATATCACCTCGCTCCCCTTGTCCTGACCCAGGTGGACCACGCGCCATTCCTGGAGGCGTGCATTCGCGACTTGTGCGCATGCGATGGCGGCGACTGCGAGTGCTTCTGCACTGCGGTGGCTGCGTACGCCCAGGTCTGCAACAAGGCCGGCGTGTGCATCAGGTGGAGGACTCCCGACCGCTGCCGTGAGTGGAATGCATGTGACAGGGGGAGGGGGGGGGGGGCGGTAGGTGGTCACGGTCGCTCCACTCACCGGCCTGCTCGTTTGTCCTCTATGCTCCTCAAACCCGGCCGCTCGGCCTCGAGCAATGAACGGTTTGCTCAGCCGCTCAGCGCATCTCCCGTGGCGCCGTTGTCCTGACACGACGGTTCGTGTGAGAGGGAGCGACTTCCCGGCAAATGCGGCCTGACCGACCGGGGGCTTTGGGTTGCCGAAGCGAGGATGATGATGATGATGGGGATGATGATGGCCACGATGACAGCGGCCATTTAGAAAAATCACCGCGTGTGTTTTCACAGGGGATTAGAACCCCTCTTAACGAGCACCTATGTTCACGACTAATCACTTAACGACGGGCCTCCATAGAGCCAAATGTGTAGTGTATAGTGTAGTATATAGAAGTGTTGTGTATAGTGTAGTGTATAGTAGTTTAGTGGATAGCAGTGTAGTATATAGTAATGTAGTGTATAGTAGTGTAGTGTACACTGCTATACAGTGTCGTGTCTTTAAAAAATACTCACACCGACACGGAGTAATAAGTCACCTGCTTACACTTTATTTCTGCTGTCTCGCGCCAGTTGTAGACACTCCTATATCTCTTTTCTTTACGGTCACATACACTTGACTTCTCCCTGCTCTTGTCTATTCTGCACCCCACCTATCTTGAACTCAGCAGCTCTGCTCTCAGCGGTTCCACACTCGGCGACTTCACACTCAGCGACTCCACACTCAGAGACTCTGCACACAGCGACTCCACACACAGAGACTTCGCACACAGAGACTCCGCACTCAGACACTCTGCACACAGCAACTCTGCTCTTAGCGACTCAGCACTTGCCCTAGAAGTCTGTTAAGGCGATACTGGGGGATCTTTGTCTTTTTGTATGTGAAGTCTAGGTTTAGCCAAATGCACGGTAAACATTCGGAAGTGACTGCTTTCTGTTAACAATGAATATTAAAATTTGATACAGTTTATGTTCCACTAGTTTAATTATGGGCAGTGTTAGGGTAGATATTCGATCAAATGAAAGAATCATAAGAAGTGCAGAGCGTATGTCCTGCGATACGACATGGGTAGTGATAGAAAACGGACAACAGCACGATACAACACTGAGTGCAAACCGTAGGGGAGGCACAACTATTTCCGGATGTGGGATTTCATCATGATTTTCGGGGAAAATGGTTCAGTTTCCAACATACAGAAAATTCGGATTGTGGATATTGCTCAGGAACCTAACCCTTCCGTAACCCGGGGACTTGCCTGTATTTACTATACTCGCTTAACGACCAAATCACTTAATGACCAGTTTTGTTGAACCAAATGCCGTCGTTAAGAGGGTGTGTTGTATATGCCCCCCTTTCCATCTTAATATTAACAAGTAATTTTTCAATACATATAGATACATATTTCTATTGTTTCTTTTTATTTTAATAATGAATAAAAACACCAAACCAGGTCTCAGCATGGCATGTGGAGGTCATATTTACCTTGACCCACTAACACGATTTTGACGTTCAGAGCCCTCCCAGGGTCAGAGGGAGCAGATAGAGAGCAGAGCGCAGCGGATTGCAAAGGGCTGACGTAAACACAAAGCCAGGGTCACTGGGAGGTTGCGTTAGCCTAGATCTAGTTAAGTCAAAAAGCTAATTGGTTCTGCATTACTATTAAAGTAACTTAAAGTCGGAATTTAACGACAGGGTAGGCTAAAGTTATTGATCTTCACACCCACTTCAATTGAACCCTGCCACAAGCTACGTCAATGTAACCATCACCCGTCTATTAATTTAATATGAAATGTATTTCCATATTTTAATAATTTCTATACGACTTGACCCGAAGCCTATAACAATCAGGTTTTCCTAAGTCAACATAAATGCTCTAGCCTCCACCCATACGCAAATAATAAGCAGGGTTAAAGTAAGAGTAGAGAGGAAAAGAAATGCAAGCGCACAGCAAAACTGCAACGTAAGCAAAGGGCGATGTTAAACCCAGGGTCGGAGAGAAAGGGAAATCCCGGCCGTCTTTGTATCCCTGCAGCGCGGGGTAGGAGTGTGTATACGCTTGGGGAAACACGAGTCAAACACCACAACGAGAAGCTGACTCAGACCTTGGAGTAATACAGAATCATAACTGTGGAACTCTGATTTAACCATTTCTTTGTGCGTCGGTGAAAGTCGGAGGGAATATCGCCCCTCCCTCCAGGTTGTGCACCCAGACAGAGAGGCGCCTTCGAGACAATTTATAACATTTGATTTTTTTACTTGTGGGTTTTATGGTAGGAGTAGGACAACGGAATATACCGTGGGTGATGCACAAGGACACACACTGACACACGTACGGACACACAAGGACACAGATACATACGGACAAATCCTGACACAGCAAAAATCGGAAGAAACCCCGCCTTGTGGGCAGGATCCGAGTGAAGGGATTTTTGGGCATAAAAAGAGGATCCTGAGCATTGAAACCTCAGTTCGACCGGGGGGGGGGGGGGGGTCGGCTCACCAGAGTTCGACCGGGGGGGGGGGGGTCGGCTCACCAGAGTTCGACCGGGGGGGTCGACTCTCGGGAGACAGTTCGACTCGGAGGGGTCGGAACGCGGGGAGTTCGACCAGTGGGTCGGCTCAGGAGCAGTTCCAATCGGGAACGAGAGCAACAGGTCGCCAGCCGGCGAGCTGCAGAGCAGGGGGCGGCGAGCAGAAGCCAAAGTGGCCCCGTCGCTACCCACTGACGTTGGCAAGACTCGCAGGGTAGTGAGGCGTCACCTAGTGTGATTTCCAAGAGCTGAAAGACAGAGTATTGCTGATTCTACATTGAGTCCAGCTGCAGAGCGACCGACGCACCAAGCAAGAGCTTCTGCAAACCAGAGCAAGAGCACGTGCGACTTGAGTCATCCAGCAGTGGAGAAAAACCTGCTTTCAGCAAACCAGCAACGAGCACGTTCGAGTTCTCCACCCAGAGAGAGGGAGCGTGCCGATGCAGCTCATCCAACAGCGGAGAGAAACTGCTGTCAGCGAACCAGCACGAGCGTGATCGCGCAGCTCATCCAGCAGTGGAGAGAGGTGTCCACTGAGCAGAACTGAGAGCGATCAAGCAACTCTCCCCCGTGGACAGAGGCTGGCTGCTGCGTGGAGGAGGGAACGGCGATTCGTATGATGCACTCCCACACACCTCACCGCTCTAAAGGGAGCGAGGCTACTTCTCCTACAAGCGATGCCAACTTCAGCGTATGGCAACGCAAAGAATTAATTCCAAACACTGACTATTCAAAACAATTCATATCACTCAAACATACACAGGTCCTTAACCAGAAGCGAACACTCAAGTCCGTGAACCATCTGGCTGTGGAAGCATCGTTCGTGTGATAACAGTCCGTCATTTATAAGTATATTCATAATTTCCCTCTTCAATATTTTGTTTTGGACTGTACTTCTAATCGCATAAGTTACCAACCGATCCATCAATACGAATTAGCCCTTGGCACCTTCGCCACGGAGCTACGCTCCCGGGGAGGAATCGTGCTAAACCGATTTTCTGATCATACAATCTTATTCACGAATTAATTAATTAATCTCCCGTGAGATAACACGTTCCGCCGCATACCCTCACACTAAGCCATTTCGGTAATCTTATAGTCTTTCCGGTGGATCTGTTGTTACATTTATGCCTTTGGAAATAATAACTGTTTGATTGTCTTTTTATATGAATACCGTTGCATGTTAATCAATCGCCTGTGATAATGTGCTGACCATTTCAAGCATAATGATCGTTCATATTATAATGTATAAGCTTTTGTGTAGCATAGCATTTGCATGTCCTGACTCTCTCTCTCACTAACAGCAATCGCTTTATGCGGGGTGCATGTGTTATCAAAGTGAAATCGTACAGTCGTTGATGATACTGTCTTGATACCGTGTGGATACCGTGTTGAAGTTCCGAGATTGAGAGTTCACATACATATTATAGTTAAGGTTTAATTAGAAAATAAATTGATTAATACAGAAGTGGTCGTGTGATTCTTTCCTGAATTTTTTGCATAAGATCTGTATCCTGCGACGAGATAGGAACTCGGGAACCTAAACTATAAACACACCAATCCACACTCATTAAACTAAAGCGAACGATATGAACATGGGACCTAAAATATGAACACTCGAGGAGTGTTAGAGAATCATTGTATTATGCTGATCAATAATACGAAGTTAGACAACGAGGCCGAATTGACACTAGCGTAACTGCACACGATTGATTGCGTTATACTGATTGATAACCCCACCTCGTCAACGAGGCGGGGCCTGATTATCATAAAGGCTATCATTAACACAACCACACCCACTCGTATACATTAATACGATCACCTCTCTAATTAGCATAGTTATACGCATAATTACACGAATTAACATAATTTTGGATTAATTATGCAAATTTCGAATTTCATTTAATTTTAATTATTTTTCATCAATTTTCACAAACCCACATATACAACAGGTGTCTACCGTATAGTCCACACCTCCGATTAGCACGATTGGCTACGTACGGTGGGAAAGAAGTTCAACAAACACACACACACACAGCCTGACGGTGTGTTTTTCAGGTCGTTCCACGTTTTGCTCCGGACGATTTTCCCGACATTTTGCTTCGCGCGCTACGAGCTTCTCTAGCAGATGAAATTCCTGAAGAAACCCCTAGCGCGCGGTGAGAAACGTTGGATGTCGTGCCGAGCTAGTGGTGCAACCCTTCAGGCATCGCGGAGATCGATGCCAATGATGAGTTTCTTATGATGTTACCTCTGTTAATCCCTCTCCCCTCCACGCGACGCACCCCCCCCCCCCCCACCTTCAGCCGTCTTCTGCGACTTCTACAACGAGGAATCGGAATGCACGTGGCACTGCAATCCATGCAGTTCCCTTCCCAGCACCTGCAGCCACCTCCAGAAACTGAACCAAGGTTCCCTGCCTCCCATCGAAGGTTTGTTTTGACTGCATCATCACTATCAACTCATTAGCATCATAATAATCGTTCTTGTCGTCATCATTGTCATCATCGTCATCGTCGTCATCACCGTCATCGTCAGTATCAACATCCTCTGAATGCATACGTTTGTCCACCTCCTCTGATCTGCTGACCCTGAGTGCAACCTTACAAAACGCTCCATTATTGTGATAGTTGTGGTGGCAGTGGTGGTGCCAGTACTGATGGCATTGGTTGCCAATGTTAATAGCGGTAGTGGTGGTGTTAGTGGTTGGCTGCGTTAGCTGGGTTATGTAGCCTGCATGCTAAGCCACCACATGCCCAAGGAGCATCTGTTTGGCCAGATATATGGGACTAAACGGGCATGGCACAGGCTAGAGAAAAGATGGACTCATGTGGAGCCGAAGGATGTGGAGCTGATTGGACTTACCGACAACTGGTACGAGCAGCGGCAGGTCACTGCTCCATGCTCGCCGATTACCAAAATCGAATCGACCCAAACGACCCAAACTGCTGCCCTTTGTGCCAAGCAACGCCAGAAGACGTCTCCCATTTTCTCAGTTGCCTAAAACACGGACCAAAAATTAAATAGATTGATCTCTGGCTAAACCCTTCGAAAGTGGCGACACGACGCCACCTATAAACAGAAAGTGCGAGGAAAACAACAACAGCAGCAGCAGTGTCAAGATCGGCCCCTGTGGGAGGCGCGAGAAGGACGCTCCTTGGGGAGTTGGCGGCAGTCGTCCTCCAGCAATAAAGGAGGGCAGAGGAGCGACGCTCACAACAACAAGCAGCTAAAACGCAGAACAGTGGCGCAGTGGGAAGCACAGTTGGTGCATCTGCCACTCATCCCAGTCATTCAACCCGTGGCACCTGGGTCTGTTCCGTGACCTCCTGCCAGTGGGCCTTCGCCACTTCACGTGACCTCAAAGTGCACTTTGGGGCCATCCATAAATGACGTCGCGCGATTTTGGACGATTTTTTTAACACCCCCCCCCCACCTTAGTCACACGGCGTCACAAAAAGTCAGACCCCCCCTCAAATATGACGTCACAAAGCTCTGCCCCCCCACCCCCCACAAAAATAAAACATGCTTCAAATCGCTTTAAACTATTGGCATTGTAGTGCGTATTTAATGTGATGCTGCACTTTGATGTTGTAGGAGAAAACATTGATTAAAAAGTCCTTTTAATTAAGTTGCGCATTTTGACATGACGTCATATTTCTAAACCCCCCCCCCCCTCGTCACACATCGTCACAAATGTCTGGCCCCTTAGCATGGCACAAGTGCCGTGGTGATGTAACCGCCACTAGTGGTGAATGGCGGTTGGTGTTAGTCTTAGTAGTGACGGTAGTCCTGGTGTTGGTGGGAGCCGTAGGGATAATGATTCACCGCTATGGGGCCGTCCATAAATGACGTCACGCACCTGGGGGGGGTCAGACATTTGTGACGATGTGTGACGGCGGGGGGGTTTGAGAAATGTGACGTCACATAAAAATGCGCAACTTTAGATAAATATAGAATTGTTATAACAACACTCCTACAACATCAGAATGCAGAGCTTTGTAACGTCATATTTGAGGGGGGGGGTTTGACTTTTTGTGACGCCGTGTGACAAGGGGGTGGGGGGGTCAAAAATCGTCCAAAATCGCGTGACGTCATTTATGGATGGCCCCTTGGTCTTAGTAGTGACGGTAGTCCTGGTGTTGGTGCGAGCCGTAGGGATGACGATTCACCGCTATTCTTGCTGCAGGCTGCTACCCGCACTGCCCGCCAGACGCGCAATACTGCGTGCCAAAAACCAACTGCAGCTGCTTTGTTGAGGATGACGTCATCCTGGCCAGGCAGCAGATCCACATCGTCAAGACTTGCCAAATCTGGTGAGATCCCTCTGCTTTCACCCACATTGACACCGCGTGCTCAAGGATCAACATCGCGTCCATTTGACATGTTTCGTCTGTCCCGAATGCACGGATGCTGCCGTGGTGCGATGGGTTAGCACGGTGGCTAGGAGATGTTGACTGCCTCGCCTGTTATGCAGGAGGTCGTGGGTTCGATCCCGACCCTGACGCTTTTATATTTGGAGTTTGCGTGTCTCTCTCCTCGTGGTCACGTTGATTTTTCCCCGGGGTCCTCCGGTTTTTCCCTCCACATTAAGGAACACGCATTTAGAGGATTTGGCTGATATATATTGACACGTGATAAGCCACTTTGTTGGGCTCTCACTTGTGGGCAAGGTGGCTTCTAAGAAAAAGAGCTGAATAGGTACAGTGAGCCTTACCTGGTAAAATAAGAAAAAATAATTATCATTGTTTATATTAGAATTAGTTCATTAAGCCTGTCTTCGCCAGACACAAGTTTTCAATAAATATAAAAATGAACCTGATGTTTTTTTTTACAATTTTTATCTACGATCAGACACTAACACCTACTAAAAAAATTAGGTATTTTCCGCAAAAAAAACACAAATGTGTTGACAACTTGATTCAACTTCTTATATTTAAAGACGTACCCATCAGAAATCGCTCAATTTAAAGATTACGCTCTTTTTTTTATTAGAAAGAACACAAAAAAATGAACTTTATATTCTATGAGGGGAAGCTCCTATCTTTTACCGTTTTGGAATTATTCAGATTTGAACATCATAACATGTGTTATTTTTTCATTCAAAACCACTTGAATCCGAAATGTCTCAAAAACAATAAAAGATAGAATTTTATTGCTGTTTAACGTTTTATCAAAAGAAAAAAACCCGCAATGTTATATTTTGAATGGTTTCTGCTGAATGACACGAACAAACATGTTTATTGAGTGCTTAAAATAGAGATTTGGGGGCCTTAAAATAAAAAAAATCTCGAATATTCAGATTGTTTCTCCTGCTATTTGTGTCATAAAAGTTTACTGGGTAGCACATTTCAGCTTCCTACCTTGTCGGAAAGTACACTAGAGGTTTTTGATACATACAGGTTAAATATCTTTATTTATGTAGATAGTTTATATTATGATAATTTACAGTCCTGTTACAACGTAGGTCACAAGGTAAATCCCCAATCGCGGCAATTGCAACACAAAAGATAAACTGAAAACATTCGGTCGGAACATTGCTTGCGTGATAATTTAAGCTGCATGCAGCAGCAGACGGCATGAGTATGCGCACTGGTGATTGAAAAGCCATCGGTTTGTGCGGAATTACTGAACCTCTTCCACTGGACACCGACGGCCATCCATGTGCTCTGCTTGAGTGCTCGTTCTCTCCAGTATCACATTCACTTTGAACATTATTTTATAAATACAACGGCATGTGCCTGTATAATTGCCCTTGTTGTGTGTCTTCTCTGTGTGACTGCAGCACATGCGACAATGCTGAGCTGCTTTGCGAAATACCAGGTACCCAAGGACAGCCATTCCTTCATGTCAGGGACAGGGGGGAACCTTTTCTTTAAGATGGCCTGTGACATGCCCAGGCACGATGGGAAGACCGAGGCTATGGTCACCTTTTGTTGTCTCAAAATCACCTTTTTGCATACGTGTCATTAGCTGATATTATTGCGATCTCTTTCATAATACGTAGCCACCCTCGAATGAATTGCATAACCAGTGCGATTAAACCAACATTGGTGTACTGCTGCGGCGTAATGCTTGGCATACTGGGCTTGCAATCCAGAGGCTGCCAGTTTGATTCAATCTCCCAGCGCAGAAGTTGAAAATATGGTGAAGGTTTCTCAAACCCCCCCTCGCCTCTGTCCACCCAGCAGTGTGTTAGCAGTGGAATGAGCAATCAATTGCTCAAAAGCCAGTTATTACAACCCCCCCCCCCCCGACCCCATAACGCTCACTAATATTTTATATCCAGATGGATGCTGTTACCACGAACAACTGTACGAGCTGGGCGCCTTCATATCAAGAGAATTAGACCCCGATCAGTACTGCGCGACCACCAAAACTTGCTTGCAACTCGGGGAGGTGGAAGACTCCGTGGAGTGCGGGATAACTCCCATCGACGTGAACAACGCCACCACCACCACCACCGCCGTACCGCCGCTCCCAACCGAGCCACCCATCGTCGGCTCGAGCACAGCTGTGCCCGACGTGGCTCCGATGCAACCGCCCAAGGGACGTTCGACCACGGTGGGCGCTCCGGTTGAAGGTGCCACCGTGCAGCAGCCAACAGCGACGACGAGCGTGAGTCAAGTGCCCTGCTCAGGAAGCTGGTCTGAGTGGTACAGCGAACATTCTCCGGACGCCGACAACGATGGCGACGAGGAGTCGTACCAGAAGGTCACAGCCTCGGGGAAAGTTGTCTGCGCACCGGGATTCTTGGTGGAAAACATCGACTGCCGTGCGGACAAATACCCGAACACACCATTGGGAGGAGTTGGGCCAGGCAATCACTTGTAACAAGGACGTGGGGTTGAAATGCTCACACACGGATCAGACCATGCCATTCTGCTACAACTACAAGGTCAGGTTTTGCTGCTCGCTGATTTCGCCAGCAACCACTGCTCCTCTGTCAACAGCACCGACATCCCCAGTGCCAGATGAAGGTAACTTATGCTTTGATGGTGGGTTTCAGGATGGAAATTTATTGGTGTAATTCCCCCCCCCCCCCCCAGTTTATCCTGATTTTAGTATTGGTGACACGTCAGAAGACGAATGGAACTCTGCCAGAGAAGTTCAGTCCTTCGTGTTTGAAAACAGCCCACAAAAACGGATATTATAAAGCGACCTCACAAATCCCTTGAAGCTATTTCTAAGGTCCACACACATATTACACACCTTAACCTCCGACTCGCTCTGCTAATGAGAGTGAGGTAATTTGCATGGTAGTCAACCTGACATTTTTTATCTCACAGCTGGAATTGAGCTAAATCAAGTGCATAAATCATTGGTGACCAGACAGTCAATAAATGAATTGCACTTGAGGACCATATACATATCCACAGGCAGCTGCCTGGAATCGAACCCAGGTGAACAGTGGTACCAACTCAACGCTGTGACCTCTGTGCCATCACTCCTGGGGCGGAGGGATTAAGTCGTATAAAGAAAAAACATGGAGAATGCAAAATTGTCTATTCTTGTTTCTTAAAGTAATTGGTTTGCTTGCTTAAATGTTTGCGATTATGTGAGCACCAAGTCACAAACCCTGAACGCTGGTTTTAATCTACTATGTTAATGAAGACGTTTATCTGTATGTGTCTGTGTGTATCTGTCTGTATCTGTGTGTATCTGTCTGTATCTGTGTGTATCTGTGTGTGTCTGTGTGTGGCTGTGTGTGTATCTATGTGTATCTATATGTGTCTGTGTGTATCTGTGTGTGTCTGTGTGTATCTGTGTGTATCTGTATGTATATGTGTGTGTCTGTGTATCTGTGTGTGTCTGTGTGTGTGTCTGTGTGTATCTGTATCTGTATGTATCTGTGTATGTATCTGTGTGTAATTGACATGGGGAGAGAGAGACACGGGGGGAGAGAGACACGGGGAGAGACACGGGGAGAGAGAGACACGGGGAGAGACACGGGGAGAGAGAGACACGGGGAGAGAGAGACACGGGGAGAGAGAGACACGGGGAGAGAGAGACACGGGGAGAGAGAGACACGGGGAGAGAGAGACACGGGGAGAGAGAGACACGGGGAGAGAGACACGGGGAGAGAGAGACACGGGGAGAGAGAGACACGGGGAGAGAGAGACTCGGGGAGAGATAGACACGGGGAGAGAGAGACACGGGGAGAGAGAGACACGGGGAGAGAGAGACACGGGGAGAGAGAGAGAGACGGGGAGAGAGAGAGACACGGGGAGAGAGAGAGACACGGGGAGAGAGAGAGACACGGGGAGAGAGAGAGACACGGGGAGAGACACGGGGAGAGAGAGACACGGGGAGAGATAGACACGGGGAGAGAGAGACACGGGGAGAGAGAGAGACACGGGGAGAGAGAGAGACACAGGGAGAGAGAGAGACACGGGGAGAGAGGAAGGTGCTCTACTCCTACATGGTCCGGTTCCACCAACACGACACCCTGAGGAGCCACAAGGACCATGCCTGGAGGAAAGCCCTGCCCTGCGTCTCTCCGGAGAGGCCTCGCTGGAGGCAACTCTACTGCAGACCGACGTACAACCGCATCGGCGACCTCAGCTGGAGCATCGCCCACGGCACCGTCACCACCAACTTCTCCCTGGCGCGCTTCACCGACACGTCCCCGGAGTGCCGGTTCTGCGGTAAAGCGGAGACGGTGGCGCACCAATACGTGGAGTGCAAGAGCCTGGACTCGCTGTTCAAGGTCCTGAGAAACATCCTCCTAAGGTTCAGCCTCCACTTCTCCCCGACGGTCCTCATCTTTGGATACCCGAAGGGCGACGGACCCCAACATCTTCAGGGGCTGGTCAACGTGCTGTTCGGCTACGCCAAGCTCGCCATATACAGGGCGAGGAAGGTGGCTCTGGAGGGGCAACGTCCAGCCAGCAGCCTGGGCATCTTCCGCGCTCTGGTCGGAGCCAGGGTGTGGCTGGAGTTCCGCCACGCGCGGCTGACCCACGCCGTGCCGGCCTTCAAGGAGCAGTGGGCGCTGGAGGAGGCCGTGTGCTCGGTGGCAGATGACGGAGAGCTCTGCATGCAGATCTAAGCTACCCGTCGGAGGCCGTTTGACTGTGGGAAGGGCTGCGTGCAGATGCAGCACTTGTCGTAGTTACAAAGAAAAAAGAGAGAGCGAGAGAGAGCCAAATGGAGTAGGAAGAGAGGGGGCAGAGAGAGAGGGGGGGGCGGAGAGGGGGTAGAGAGAGAGGAGAGGCAGAGAGGGGGGTAGAGAGAGAGGGGGGGCAGAGAGGGGGGTAGAGTGAGAGGGAAAGGGGAAAGAAAAAAGAAAAAAATGTTGGGTCTTTCATTTAAAAGGGGGGGGGGGGGGTGTTACATAAAGCAAAGCATTAAAAAAAAACCCGAAATCATGAACGGAGCAAAGTGCCGACTACACCGAGCATCTTCTTGTTTCTTCTGATCGTAAAAAAAAGAGAGACACGGGGAGAGAGAGACACGGGGAGAGAGAGACACGGGGAGAGAGAGACACGGGGAGAGAGAGACACGGGGAGAGAGAGACACGGGGAGAGAGAGACACGGGGAGAGAGAGAGACACGGGGGGAGAGAGAGACACGGGGAGAGACACGGGGAGAGACACGGGGAGAGAGAGACACGGGGAGAGAGAGACACGGGGGAGAGAGAGACACGGGGAGAGAGAGACACGGGAGAGAGAGACACGGGGAGAGAGAGAGACACGGGGAGAGAGAGAGACACGGGGAGAGAGAGAGACACGGGGAGAGAGAGAGACACGGGGAGAGAGAGACACGGGGAGAGAGAGAGAGACACGGGGAGAGAGAGAGACACGGGGAGAGAGAGAGACACGGGGAGAGAGAGACACGGAGAGACAGACACGGGGAGAGAGAGACACGGGGAGAGAGATACACGGTGAGAGAGAGAGACACGGGGAGAGAGAGAGACACGGGGAGAGAGACTTTGACTTTTGACTGCCTTTATTCAGGCTTCCACCTGCTATTGCAGTGGAGCCACAGTGCATTGGATCATAGTCCAGGCAGCAACGGTGATGGGGGAAAAAAAAAAACGACACTGGGCGGCGGCACACACGCCGTCACCTACAGCATCCCGTACACGGAAAAAAAAACCCTTCTCAAACGACGCGCGCGACCGGGCGTCATCCGCGCCAGGCTTATGGGGGGGGGGGGGGTAGTCCCAGCTAAAAACAGCAAAAAATGACGACACTGGTAAAGCGCGTCAACGCGCGCACGACCGACGGCACAACTGGTGCATACAAGCACGGGCTTCATAGCGCGGATGAAGCGAGAGTTACACCGCAACCTCCGCTCATCCCCGCGTGCGCACAGAAAATAGAAAAAACACAATCCTCAAAAAAAACGCCACACAAGTCCATGCTCGCCCCACGCCGCCAGAAGGAGCCTCGGCTCGCATGACGTGTGGGCGGGCACCAGGAGCGTTCAAAAAGTAAAAGTCAGCGTGCCGTCCGTGACGGTACACAGGGCCTGGCCAGCCCCCCACCGCTCAAGGAAGCCGGCCAGCGCGCCCTCGGCGGAGGCGTGATATTCATATTCCAACCGAATGCGCGCTTTAAGAAGTCCACGCAGCACCGCCACCGCGGAGCAGCTGCTGTCGGCGACACCCTGCAATTTCTTTTTGCGGGTCTTGTATATAGCCATTTTCGCCTGCGCGATGGCAAAGTTCGCCAAGTGGTGCCGCCTGCTTGTCAGGTAAGGCACCCCGCAGACAAAACGGCTCCTGTAGAAGGGGACCCCCAGTTTCACAAAAAACGTTCCCAGGAGCTGAAACAGCGGGCCGAGCCGTGGGCATTCCAGATATTGGTGAGCCAGGTCCTCGACCGCGCCGCAGAACTCGCACAGGTCCGACGCCCCGGGGGTGATCTTGCTGAGCCACACGGCAGAGGGCAGCGTCCAGTGCGCGAGCCTCCATTGGAGGTCTCCGCAGCGCTTCGTTACGGGGGACTTGTAAAAACACTCCCACTGGGGGTGGGCCTCAGTCATGGGGGGGAAATGAGCCCTCCATTTGATGTCCGGCGTGTCCGCCAGCTCCGTGCAGTGGAGCGCTTTCACGCAGCATTCGTAGAGCGCCTTCTTCGGAGCGCCCTCGAGGGCCACGTCTTTGCATTGATCGAGCCGCAGCAGCTTTCCGGCATCGCAGCGCCCGGGGGGCTGCGCGCAGGAGAGGAGGAGCCCCGGGAAGGGTGGGGGGGGGGTGGTGGGGGGGGTAGAGGTGGGTGGGGGGGGGTGGGTGGGGGGGGTCGGGGTGGGGGGTCCCTCGGTGCCACGGTCCTCCGGCGCATCCAGCACTAAGCACAGCCCCCGCATTACTTTGAGCGCCTCCCGCAGCAACTTCTCCCCCGCGAGCACGGTGCGGAGTCCCGCAGCGCCGCTCACCTCCGCCGCGGTTTTCCACGCCAGGCGGCAGTCGCGGCACTTCACGAGGTCGCCCACCCTCCGCACCCCCGCCCCGGTGAAGCGGAGGGCGAGCGTCCTCTCCTCCCTAATCCCTGCAAAAAGTCGATTAAAGAACAGAGGCTCCCGCAGGAACTGTGCGAGGCCATCCCGCGGCTTCGCCCTGTCCCACGCAAGACTCCGGCACGCGTCCAGTAAGCTCCGATGGTACTCGGGCAGCCCCGTATAGTCAACAAGGTCCAAGTCCAATAGGACCAGCTCCCTGTCGTACCCCAGGCGCCCGCCCGCACCCCTCAACAGGCTGAGGGCCAGCGCTGTCCACTGGGGTCCCTCTCGTTGGTACAACAGGCGCCGCACGGCCTGCAGCCTGAAAAACATAACTTTGGCGGTGACATCCACCAGGCCCTGACCACCCTCTCGCACCGGCAGGTG